CAAACCTAGGGTGATTAGGAACGACCAAATAAATAAAAACTGAAACTTATGAACATGTATTTTGGTACTTACTTTGCCTGAGTCCGAATAAGTGGGTCTCCCTGCTTATATCCTTGACACACCACTGAACATGGCGAAATACTGAAACGCCTCTGACATACAAATCTAGGGAGGTTAGGCAAGTTCAGTATAATCGGAAAGGACCAAATAAATAAAACAGAAACTTATGGAAGTGTAATTTGGTCATAACATTACTTAGGTCTGGATGTGTGTCTCTCCCTGCTTATATCCTTGACACACCACTGAACATGGCGAAATACCGAAACGCCCTGACAGACAAACCTAGGGAGGTTAGGCAAGTCCAAAATAATCGGAAACGGCGAAATAAAAACTGAAATTTACGCACCTGTAATTTGGTCATAACATTACTTAGGTCTGGACCTGACTCTCCCTGCTTATAACCCTGACTCACCACTGAACATGGCGAAATACCGAAACGCCTCTGTCAGACAAACCTAGGGAGGTTAGGCAAGTCCAAAATAATCGGAAACGGCGAAATAAAAACTGAAACTTACGCACCTGTAATTTGGTCATAACATTACTTAGGTCTGGACCTGTCTCTCCCTGCTTATAACCCTAACACACCACTGAAGATGGCGAAATACCGAAACGCCTTTGACAGGCTAGCCCAAGGAGGATAGGCAGACGATAATGATCGAAAACGACTAAATAAATAAAAACTAAATCTTATAAATCTGTAATTTGGTTACCTTACTAAGGTCTGGACGTGTGTCTCACCCTGCTTATAACTCTGACACACTACTGAAGATGGCGAAATACCGAAACGCCGCTGACAGATAAACCTAGGGTGGTTAGGCAAGACCAAAATAATCGGAAAGGACCAAATAAATAAAACAGAAACTTATGGAAGTGTAATTTAATCTTTACCTTACCTGAAACTGGATGTGTTTCTTTCCCTACTTATAACCCCATCAGACCAACCCAGGAAGGACAGATCAAATAAATAAAATCTGAAACTTATGAAACTGTAAATTTTGATTCTTACTTTACCTGGGTCTGGAGTGTCTCTCCCTGCATATATTTGTTAATATTTATAAATTATCTTTCCCTGTAGCTTTTTCTTTAGAATAATTCTTTTCTAAATATTACAAAAAAACAGCTAGATGTTGAAGTGCTTGGTTGAACCCCACAGTTCCACTCCGTCCAAAGTGTGCGCAGTTTTGTATAGGGTTAGTTTATTGTTGACTGTCAAGACGGATTTCGGTCCTAGAAGTCGTCGTAGATGACCAAGTCTTCTGTGAGGATTCCACGTCTGCTATCTAGTACTAACTCCTAAGCAATTGACTTGAATGTAAGTAGGTATCTGTTGATCATGTACAGTGGAGGGCAAGACTTTTTTCAATGTAGAACACCAAGTACATTTTTGCCCTCCACCTTTTGCACCAGTCTTCGATTAGGGTGTATAGGTCAGCCGTATAAATGATATAAAGCATGGGAGCAAGAATGCTCCCTTGTGGGACGCCTGCTTGTATCTGACTTCAGAGAACTCGTTGCCGTTGTAGAGAAAATAACGATTTTACTTGCTTTTCTAAGTATAAAAAAGCTGTTTTACATTATGGTAGATTAAAATAGAGGTTTTTCCACCTGGATAAAAAACACTTCATACTTTCCCTACATACTAAAATAAAATAGTTGTATTCAATATTCCTTGTTTTGCAGGAAATCTCGCATAACTCTACTTTATCGAGTTTTTTAAGCCTCTTAGCAATTCTATCTTAAAACATTTTATATAATAAAAAAATAACAGATTTGATTTTAAACTTTTGTATTGGAAGTGAAGCATTTCTAGGGACGATTGTTAAGCCGTGGTGCTCGATCGATCGGCCATGTGTCTTCCGTTAGCTTAGGGTGTTGCCATACACATGGGCACAACAATAACAAACGCTTTTCGACAATTTTTTATTGAATAAGTATTTTTCCCATCCCCAACTACCACTAAGAATCATTTTTCAAATTATTCAACGTATTCGGGATTGATTATTCATAGGGTAGATCGAACTGGACGGATATAAAGCATTTCAGGTTTATGATGTAACATATTGTTTATTTTGGGTTTGAAAACAATGGAACCCTAATTTGCCCTAAGTTTGAATGTAAATATAGATCTAAACTATAATAAACCTACATTATTTATATTTAAGAAAAAAATTGTTCAACATTTCAGAATTTCAGTATGGCCGGTTGTTTGTCTATTTCACCAAAAATCAGAAGTCCTGATTTCTTAATATTGTAATACAAGATTATACTTTCTATTTGTGTTGTCCGATAACGTATGTACTAATATTGACTTCTGATTATAATTGAATAAACAAAATGGCGAAGTCCTTGGCAGGATGCATCTCCTTTCAAATGCACGATTTATACCCAAAAAAAAACTGATTATTTTGTACGATACAATTTAAAGATTCAAACACCAATTTGAAATTAAAACTTAAAAAAACAATTTTGTGTATTAAATAATTTATTCGGTGCTTCGTGCGGCGACAGTTAAATCGAAATCGATAATCCAAAAACTTCTCCCGTTTGCTTCCTTTTAAAAAATAAAAACCTTCTGTCCCCTCGTTAAATTATTCACGGGTCTTTTCCTTCTGTCGTGTTATTGATTGGTGAATATTGCTGAAACTATTTCAACCGTAATTTCAATCGTGGAAGATTCCAAAAAGGAATTTCCGCCCGAGAAGTGTCACGAGCCGAGAAGATGGCGTCCTCCAAGTTAGAAAATATTTTAACCGAATCGTCAATTTTCCTTTGGTTTTATACCTTGTTCTAAAATCCTTCTAAAATTGTTCCATCTAAGTTGACGGTTTTGGCAAGTATTGGATTCCAAAACAGGCCGCCTCCTTCGGCAAACCAAAAAATACTGACACAAAAACTTGTGTAAACGTTTACAAGTTTTTGAGGGTCGTTTAAGCTTAATTTGGCCCCTTTTATATGTATATAAACTTAAAGATGAAGTATGCTGTTTTAATAGCGAAACATATTTAACATTAAAATATTTGCCAGATTGTTTAGGCCTGCTCTTTCTTAGCTGTCTATAAATGTCAGACGAATTTCGTCCTTTTGCCATCATCAGTGGTGGTTTAGTAAAGAAGAAATGCATATTATAGAGCAAAACAAAATGTAATCAAACCAAAATGACCAGAAACGACTAAGTTACTAGTTTACCCTAAAAAAAAAAATTTTTTTAAAAATAAAAAAATCGCAACGTGGATGGATATAGCATATTGTAACAAATCTGTTCACAAAAAATAAATAAATATGAAAATAAAAATAAAATAAATTAGTTCCAGTAGACAATGAGTGCAAACAATTTTTTAACATCCGATGATTTCATTTTTGTTAATTCTTGGTTTTAAAATTATTAAAATATAATAATTCAGATTAAAAATGAATATACTTGACAGTAGACTTACAGACTTACCGAACAAAACTCAGAATCATTGCCGGCCACAAGATGGATTTGAACCTGACATACTTACAAATGGTTTTTTTTCTTTTTCAAAAACACTGGCACCCTGAGGGTTTTATGACCTCGCTGTTGCAAACCTACGTTAAAAAAATTAATTAATTAAAAAAACTATCGTTGAATATGATACCGGCCTTCCATGATAAATAATAAAGCTAGTAGATTGAGGATGAAGCCATGAAGGTAAAAAAAAACTTGTTTTCTGTTCTGATTCCTTCCTCAGGATTGTTTAAAAAAAATCACTTTATAATTAGCTGGACATGGGTCCCAAATAATAGGTTGCGTGGTTCGTACCATTTGGACTACATGTCCAGGCTAATCAAACTCATTTTCTGATATCAAGCTTTTGGCTGAATTTGACGCCTTCCTCAGGACTTTGAAAATCTGTTAAAAAAAAAAAAAAAATGTTGTGCAGTTCATACTATTAAGACCACAAGTCCGGGCTTTTTTTTTATATTTATTTATATATTTTTTTTAAACAGATTTTCTAAGTCCTGAGGAAGGCGTTAAATTCAGCCAAAAACTCGATATAAGAAAATGAGTTGTTTTACCTTCTCGGCTTTATCCGTGATCTAGCTTTTTTTTTAAATTTTATTTTGATTTATTCATTTATTTATTTTTTAATGAGGGTATTTCAAGTACGAGATGTGCCTCGAGATGCCGATGTTTTTGTAAAAAAAGCCCATTTATAAGTATGTTGGGTTCGAACTCAGGGCTGCTGGATTTGAACCCAGGACCTTTACCTTACTGCGATTAGGGCCATGTCAACACCTAAACCATTGTGGCCACCCCCCCCCAAAAAAAAAGGATTAGTGTTTTTCCAACTGTAAAAAAAATTAATGTATTAGAACAAGATTTATATTAATCCATGTTTTACAAAACAGCTCATTATAGTTTACCAAAGATTTTGAAGGATATTTTTTTTTCAAAATAATTTTTAAAATTAAAGTTATTTCTTTCGGTTTTAAATGTTTATTTTATTTTCTATGAATGTCAATAACTTCAGCTGTAGAGATGACCCTGTTTGAACATACCGCTCGACTAGATATACAAAGATGGGGAATGCCTTGGGTGGGAGTGTGATGAGAAGCCTACAAACATGTTGTTGGGTTGAATGGAAATTCTGGCAGCATCATCTCTCTGTCAGAAATAAGCGAGGCAGGTGTGCCCAAGGACGCCTCTCCCCGTTATCCAAACATTTGAATAAAACATCTTGGTTTTAATGGAAAATCAATATCTTGATTAGATCAACAATGATTGTTTTTCACTTGGAATAAATTGTCTTGTTTATATCTATTTTTATCCAATAGAGAACTTATAACAGGGCACATTACACATTACATCATTCACATTTTTTTCCATCTACGATATCCTTATTATAATTTTTTCATTTTTATATTCAGTATTATTACTTGTATACTAGCCATTATATTTAATTGTGTTTTTCTTTCAGGGCCCTGAGATGATAAGGGTGTCCAAATTTTACAAAGACAGTAAAGATGGAAAATTTGTAAGCTTTTTATCAGAAGACACTAGGACATTGTACGACACGTTTAGAAAAGGGGCCAAATCATCTAGTAAGGACTGATTTTTCTTTACGATAATCCGTTACGAATATAAACCTTTCGATTTATTTTATTAGATGATGGGAAATGTGTCGGATGGCGAGAAAACCCTAATAAACCGTACCAGTGGATGCACTACAATGAGACGTTGCTTAGAGCGAGGAATTTTGGTTCTGGCCTCGTTTCATTGGGCCTAGCTCCCAATCCAAACACCTTTATCGGCGTCTACTCTCAAAATTGTCCGGAATGGATTTTAACGGAACAGGCCGCGTACTGTTATTCAATGGTTATTGTCCCTTTGTACGACACACTCGGTCCTGATGCATGTTCTTATATTATAAGCCAAGGTTTGTTCATTTTAACAAAGAATTCAAATGATAAAATTTACATTTTATTTTTTTTTTAGCTGAAATAGAAATTGTCGTTTGTGAAAACGATGCTAAATGTAACATGCTATTGGACAGGGCGCCCAGGCACCTTAAAAAAATCATCATTATAAAAGAAGCTAGTCCAGCCACTAAACAAAGGGCGAAAAATCGAGGAGTAGAGATCATTAAATTTGACATGGTTGAGAAACTAGGAGCAGCTAATAGTGTCCCCGAAGTGGTACGTACTTTTAATTAAAAATGCAATTAAACAATAAATAATATAAAATTTCTTCAGCCTCCGAAACCTAGTGACCTGTGTACTATATGCTACACATCTGGAACAACTGGAAATCCAAAAGGAGTTATGTTGAGCCACGAAAATGTGGTCGCTGGTGTTTGTGCTGTGATACTTCAGTTAGGTGATCATAAACCAACCGCCGATGATACAATGATATCATTCCTACCGTTAGCTCATATGTTGGAAAGGTGCTGTGAGGTGAGATCTAAAATTTTTTTATCATTTAAAACTAATTAACATTATTATAGGGTTATGTTTGTCAACCGGCAAGTTTTTTTCTTAACGTTTTAATTTCTCTGTAGAATGGGATGTACTTGGTAGGAGGTTCAGTCGGCTTCTTTTCTGGTGACATCACAAAGCTTTCTGACGATATGAAAGCACTCAGGCCAACGGTGACACCAGCGGTGCCAAGATTATTGAACAGAATATATGATAAAGTCATGGCTGAAGTTAATTCTTCTGTATTAAAAAAAATTCTTTTCAATATGGCCCTTAGCTCAAAGCACAAAGAATTAAAAAAGTATGTTTTTTAATTTTGATTTTCTATAAAACAACCAAACATTTAAATAATTTTTTGTTTTTAGAGGGATTGTCAGGAGAAACAGTTTTTGGGACAAAACAGTTTTTCGTAAAGTCCAAGAGCAGATGGGAGGGAGACTGAGAATGATGATAGTGGGCTCTGCGCCATTGGCTGGCAATGTGTTGACTTTTGCAAGATGCGCCCTTGGTTGCATGGTAATTGACGAATATGACAAACTTAAGATCTATACTCATTTGTTTTATTATTTAGATAGTCGAAGGGTACGGCCAAACTGAATGCTGCGCTCCTGTTACATTGACAGTCCAAGGGGATCACGTTCCTGAACACGTCGGCCCTCCCGTAGCATGTTGCTGTGTAAAGCTAGTCGATGTACCTGAAATGGAATACTTTGCTTCGATGAACCAAGGTGAAGTCTGCGTCAAGGGTACAAATGTCTTTCAAGGCTATTTCAAAGACCAGGACCACACATCAAAGACTATTGATGCCCTCGGTTGGCATCATACTGGCGACATCGGCCAGTGGCAACCTGTAAGTCTAAATTTTTGTGTTTTTAGGCTGATTTTCAATATTAGAACCCATTCCTTTGCCTAAAGCCTCTTATTTTGCACCTGATTTATTTTGCATTATACATCGAATTGCAAAGTGTTTGCTTTATGCGCTTGTTTGCTTTCACACCTTGTATGTATTACCAATTCCATTCAAAATTTAACAGTATTGGGTTGTCCGGAAAATAATGCAGGATTTTAAGTTTTCATTAAAAAAAATCTATATAAAATATTCTGTTTACGTTTACAGGATTACTCATTTGTATNATTATTTTGATTAAAGAACATTGCTTTAAAGTAACTAGTTTCTTTTTTTTTGTTTAATACCAAAATCCTGCATTATTTTCCGGACAACCCAATACATTCCTCGAATATTATACTTTACATTTAGTAAGTAAAAGTAAGGGAAAAAAGAATCAACAAAGTTGTATTTCATTGAAAATTTATTTGAAGGGTAGAGGGTTGGGAACTTTCAGGGGCAAGAGTTAGACAAAAGAAGGTTCCAATGAAACGGAGATGTTGTTGCCAAATGGCTTTCTATAAAAACGATTGTATCATAATTTCGCAAAATTTTGTGAGAGAGACCAGATTGTAAAGAGAAGCGGGAGAAAAGAGTGGTTTGCTGATGATGTGGACAAGAATGGAAGAGTGTGGAAGGTCACATTTCACTACCAAGATGTCTGCTGTACTTTGGATACAACCTTAGACCAATAGATGCTGTGAGTGTTCAGTTAGGGCTCCTAAAAGGCAAAACACCACGAGGGCGAGATAACTTAACTGGGACTAGGAAACACGCAAGCCCGCACAAGATATCTCGTCACTAGATTTTATCACAGTTGTATTTCCCAGGCTTGTCTGTCTCTGAGGAGGAGGAGCTTGCCTGCTTTTTCTTTGGATGAGCTATATTTTTTGCAAATTTCAACATAAAAAGAACCCAGGGAAAATTCATACTTTATAAATTTACCCTGCATTGTTTTCTTAAAAAATTGCTTCAACTTTTCAATTCAATTTTTGCACGAGGTGTGTTCCCTCCATCATTCGGAAAATCTGTCATATTCTCCCTGTTCAAGCACAGCATCCCTACTGATTCCAACAACTACAAAGGCATCTCATGTATTGACTCAGTTTTCAAAGATTTTTGCTTATTTTAAACAAATTTCATGCAGTTTTAGGAGATGTTAGGCAGACTCTACACCTACAATAACATTCGAAAATACTACAATTAATTTAGGCTTTTAATTGAGATAAAAAAAGTCAATGGCACGAGCGGGATTCGAACCCACGATCTTTGGCTTGATACGCCGCTGCTCTACCACTTGAGCTATCGTGACCTCGATCCACTCGGACACCAACTTCCCATCTCAACCCCACCTTTTTAATTTTCCCTCCTTTTTGCCATTTTTCAGCCGAATATCGTGGGTTCGAATCCCGCTCATGCCATTGACTTTTTTATCTCAACTAAAAACCTTAATTAATTGTAATATATTAATTCGTCAAGCAGACCACGAAATTAGTGAATTTAATGATTTAAAATGAATGTGTGTAGATTAGTGACCGTTAATCGATAGTTATTCAGATATCATGAGATGAGGTCGGGTGTGATGTAGGTTTCAGAAAAACATTTTCTTTATCGTGCCAACATTTCGATCTTTTATTGAGCCCTGAAGATGATCTCAATAAAAGATCGAAACGTTGGCACGATAAAGAAAATGTTTTTCTGAAACCTACATCACACCCGATCGCATCTCATGATATCTGAATAACTATTTAAAATGAAGTATACTTCACTAAAGCTCTCCGTGGCCATTTCATTTGTCGTCGAGAATCCAACCCGATTGATTACATGACATTTGAAAAATGGCAAAAAGGAGGGAAAACTCATAAGGTGGGTTGAGATGGGAAGTTAGAGTCCGAGTGGATCGAGGTCACGATAGCTCAAGTGGTAGAGCAGCGGCGTATCAAGCCGAAGATTGTGAGTTTGAATCCCGCTCGTGCCATTGACTTTTTTATCTCAACTAAAAACCTTAATTAATTGTAATATATTAATTGTTCAAGCGGACCACGAAATTAGTGAATTGGAAAATACTTTTATTGTGCAATAATATTGAGTGACAGGCCTAGACCTACAGTAACATTGCACAATACTTTTATTGTGAAATTGTATTATGACAAGCAGACCTAGACCTACAATATCTTTGCCCAAACTTTTATTGAGCAGTTTTCAATGACAGGTGGACCCTAAACCTACAATAACATTGCACAATAATTTTATTGTGCCATAGTATTGAGTGACAGGTGGACCCTAGACTTACAATAACATTGCACAATAATTTTATTGTGAAATAGTATTGAGTGACAGGCGGACTCTAGACCTACAATAACATTGCCCAATACTTTTATTGTGCAATTGTTTTCAATGATAGGCTGACCTAGACCTACAATGACAATACTTTAATGGGCAATTGTATGAAAGACATCTTGATCTTTGTTTGTTTCTTGAGCTCCTTGTGGAAATTGGTTCTTAAAGAATTAAATTTTTTCTTTACATCATCTTTCCTTGCTTCTGAAAACATCTCTTTGTATTTAGATAATAATGTTTAGTAGGCATTTTTTTTTTTTTTTTTTTTTTTTTTTGTGATCGCAATATCTTGACACTCCACAGAGCCGGAAATTCACTATATAGTTGTGTGTAATCGGCGAAGTCCCATCTCATTGAGCAAACTTCAATACTAACCACAAACAATCAAAAATATTGCACAATTGGTAATATTGTACAATATAATTGATTGTCTAGGACCCCCTTATTCCACTGTAAAACATCCTTTGAGTTGGTAGGTATCTTATCCAAAAGATGGCAAATTCGGTTTCTCAATTGCAATTGTCAATATGCTAGTAGCTTTGTTTACACTTTCAGGATCTGCTGTTAAGATTAATAATTTGGTTATTATTATCGTATCATTAGACCAAGATAACTCCTCAGCCCCTTGTTATTCTCCCTCTTTATAAACAACCTTCCTGGTGTTCTAAACTTTTTTTAGTTTTCCTGCCTTTTTATTGTAGTCTGATGAGGTTTAATAAAATACCATCCTTGACGAAGAATTCAGTTTAATATTTTTATTCTTGGACTAGTTTCAGGCTTAAAAAAAATAATTACTTTTTGATATTAAGGCTTATTGAATGTGAATTTTTCCACTGAGGTTGCAAATTGAGTTTTGTAAATAAATTTTAAATTTATCAGTTTTTAAAAATTTAGTGTTTGTTTGTAATGGAAATTTTCAAAGCTTTTTTTTTTTGGATTTCCCCAAAAATGAATAGGTCAAGAGCTACGAGAAGATATACAACGAAAACCATACACAGTTGAAAAAACATTAAATGTTGAATATATGAAAGGGTTGAGTATTGGACCATGGTTCACACAAACTTTTTTGTCACTCTGGAGGTTTGAAATTCACTGGCAAAATTTGCTATGCGAGTAACATAACAATCCCGTATAGATCCATGGAGTTGCACCCTTCAATTAGGGACTCATCGAGCAACCTTTTTACATGGGCTTTGCCCTAAAAACTTTTTATTTATTACCATGTCGTATTTTATTTTTGTAAGTTACTATTTGATGTTTTTTAGAATGGCACCTTGAAAATAATCGACAGGAAAAAACATATCTTTAAACTGTCCCAAGGAGAGTACATAGTGCCTGAAAAAATAGAAAATATTTATATAAGGAGTCAGTATGTTTACCAAGTATTTGTACATGGGGAATCTCTAAAAGTAAGTGTTCTGAATTGTAATTCTTCATAAACTAATATTTTATTAATTTAAAAAAATTCCTTTGTTTTCAGTCCTGTGTTATAGCGATTGTAGTGCCTAATGTTGATGTAGTTAAAAGCTGGGCTTTAGAAAACCAAATTGAAGGTACATTTTCTGTACTCTGTGCACATCCTGAAGTAAAGAAGTTAATATTAGATGATATGATTACCTGGGGTAAAGAAAGTGGCCTTAAATCATTTGAACAGGTAATTTTTGTTTTCATTTTCAATTATTCCTCTCGGGGGAAATATTAAAATAAATATTATTTCAGGTTAAAGATATATATTTGCATCCAGATCCCTTTTCTGTACAAAACGGGCTCTTGACTCCCACGTTCAAAACAAAAAGACCACAACTTAAAGCTTACTTCAAACCCCAGCTTGAGGACATGTACGCCAAGCTGACGTAACGATGGGAGTCCATTGAAAAATTATTCTTAAACTAATTTATATATGTAAAATAATAGGTTTTATGAATATCATGTTTCTTTCTGCAAATTTATTTATAACATTTAATTAATTACACTAAAATTTAGGAGATTGGGGGGGAAAAAACCTAGTCGATTTGTTTAAAAGAAGCCTCAAATAATTATAATGTTATCTTTTTATACGTGTTTTTTGATTCCTGTATTTTTCATCTCTAGAAGTCACATTTAGAAATAACAAAATTGTGTATTATAGATAGCAATAAAGGATGGCAAACACAGAACAAAAACCATGCTTTTCATGCTGATAAAATTGTAATTTTTATGATTGAGTTGAAGGGTAAAGCATAATGGACAGAACAAATTTAAAAATTAATATTTCAAACTCACAATATAAGCATGTAATTTCAGTCAATTATGAACTGAGCCGTTTAAGGCACAACTCTTAAAGCAATTTGTGAGTCTTCCATTGGCTTCAAAATTTATCTAATTAATGAACAATTTGGGTAATTATTTATAATAAATAGAGCTTAAAAAGCAGTTTCTCCCCTGCGAGGGATTCTTGTAAGATTTCATCTGTTCGTGTTATATTTCATGAATTGATATAAATTGAAAGTTGATATAAATGTGATTTGAGAATGTTTAAAAAAAAAAATGACCTGCACATGTAGGCGAATAGAAATTGATGGTTTTATGTAATAAACTTTTAGTGTACATATATTTAAAAAAAAGTGTAAATATGTACTTATGTATTTATTTACAAATGAATAAAAATTGATAGTTACGACTAATATTTTCTTTATAAATCGTTCAAAAATAAAAATAAAAATTGTTAAAAGATAACATTGTAATTGACACTTCGGAAACGGCCCTGCTTTCCTTGATCGTATCGGCCAGGGATTTCAGGGGACGCTTGTTGGAGAGCGGTCACAGAGACTGTTGTCGAAAAGCATGCGTTTTTTGTTAGACACGATGATATACGGCGCGGCCAGATTCATCAGATGTTTCAGGCAGTTATGGTTTGGCGGCAATACAAATTCAGATACAAGGTCACAAAGCGACCGTTGTTCAGTGGCACAGATACGGCAGCAGTATGGTCAGGGAATTCATATAATTACAGGACTTTATGGATTTTTATGTTATCCTCTTCTATGAGCTAGATTATCAACCTGCTGGTAACATGAAGTCTTTTCGGAGGATCTACGGAAGAGGTCAACACAGAGAAAACTTCCTTTCGGTTTTTGCCGAGCTTTCGACAGTTTTTATACTGTCATCTTCAGGGCCTGTTTTATTATCATTAAAAAAAACAAAAAAAAAACATGAAAAACAAACTGCACAAAAATTGAAATATCTTACTTAAACCTTAATGGGGAAATAAAAGACATGGTGTTTTGGGCACAGAAGTACATTACGTTTTTTGTCGTAGTTTTTCTTTTCTATCACATTAAAAATAAAAGAAAAATTAACGATTTTTTACAAAATTGATCATGTGGGACTTCCAAATGACCAAATTTAAAACGTCTTTATACCAAGTATAATAAAACTGCAGTAACTGAGTGGTTAGCATGTTGGATTCTTGACTCGTAAAAGTCATGGATTCGAGATTCACACCATCAACTCTGAAATTTTCGACCCCCCTCGTACCCTGGCTAATTAAAAAAAAAAAATGTAAAAAAAATATCAAAAATGCAATAAAACACTACTGGCACATGGATTGGCCATGAGGATAGCTAAGGGTAGAAGTTTGTATGTTCTAACATAACATTGCATAAAAATATTGTGGCATCTCTTAGATGACTTGCAGTTATTGAAGTGTTTAAATAAAAATAAAAATAAAACCAATTTGCCATACGTGTATATAATTAGGTCCCATAATTTATGCATTTAACATTTATCTTTTATCCATCCGTAAAGTATCTTGATTGCGGTTTAACAAAATGAAATAAAAGCTAATAATATCAAACATATTTTCAGTAATATATACAAAAAGTTTATTAATAAAAAAGTTAAAATATACACCAAAATAAGTTAATAAAATACATGTTAATAATCATCTAGATTAATTTTAGACTATGTTCATGTACAATCAGTCGAAAAGCATCTAGTTTAAGGTACTTGAGTTTAAAATCTGTATAAAAAATAAAACACTTAATGCTAAGATTGCGCCCTGTGGACAACTTCATTCAATCTTCGTTGGAGTTCATCAAAGCAGGCCAAGTAATCACTAGAAACAGACGTGGGTTTGTCCCTTGGCAAATTTGACCTGAAACAAAAGTCAAATCAACGGGATTGGAATTTAACAAGTAATAAATAATTACCTTAAATAACTCGGCCTGTCCCTACAGGGTGGTGAGTGAGGAACTTTCATTGCTTGAGGTAAATACTGTTCATCAGTCTTATAATCTACAACTTACAATTAAAAAATAAATTATTTTTGTACCCTGTACATATTACAAATGTGTTCACACAAAAATTTTTTTTTTCACATGGCCACAGCACTAACACTATTGCCAGCGCTGCACCAAGAGGACACATTCCATAAGAAATCAGCCAATGCTGGCAGTGAATGAATGAATGAAAAAGTACTTTATTAGATAAACAAAAGAGAGTAAAAGAAAAAAAATTGTGCATAACCAAAAAGCACATAATGGCAATGGTTATCAACTGTCTGCCGGAGTCGGACTATACATTTTTAATAAACAAAAGAAACACATTTCTTCTTAAGGAATAAACAAAAGAAAGAGAAAAAAAAACTATATAAGTAAACTAAAATAACAACATATCTATTTATGCACATATAAATAACCAGGGTGTCTCTGATATATACAGTAAACATTTAATAATTGAAATAAAAAACAAGCATTTTCCTGTAGTTCCAGGCTTCCATCGCAAACTTTACCAGATTTAAAGACTCGGGGTTATTTAATAAAGAGATTAGGTGCTCTCTCGTCAATATGCCGTGCTCGGAATTCCGCTAAAACTGGGCATTCTGCTAGAAAATGAAAACAATCTTCTCGAGCCTGCCTGTTGCAGAGAGAGCACCTATCGGAACTATTGACTCTTGTGGGGTTATAATTGAGGTACAGTAACTCGCACCTAATTTTGAAAAACCAGCGAGCTAGCGGAATGGACGGAATTTTAGAATTTTGCGCTATGTTCAAGAAAGGTTGACTGATATTAAGGTCCTTATACAGCAAAAACCTAGAAGAATTTTGAGCATGAAGGAGACATTTCATTCTGTGAGAAGTGCGGATATTGTTAATTAATTTTGTGTGTAAAAGTGGCCACTCTTTGAAATTGTCCGGTGAAAAATTGTCATTCAGCTGAAATTGTTGAGCCAAGTTATTCCAGGAAGAGAACCATGATATTTTGGACCTTATGATTTCCATCGCTGTACAATGCTGGCAGTGGATTAACATGTTTGTTATGGCCCTGGTTTGTTAACTCTCCTCAAGCATGGCAAATAGTTTTTTTTTTCTCTTCAACATAATGTAAAAGAATGCCAAAAGTTAAATTGAAAAACCTTCTTCACAGTAATGCTGTCAAAGTGATACTAAAGGTCTGTGACACAGATTCAATTTCAAAAATACCTCAACACCCTACAACAAGCTTCAAAACTTTTTTTTTCTTAGAAGGGGTGCTGTATTGGGTCTACTTGAGGTCATTACAGGTGAATAAAGAACATCACTATTAGGTTTCACCAAGCTTTCGGCAAATGTTCCACCATCATCAGGGCCTAATTTATTAAAAAACAAAATTTACATGAACAGAGTTACATAACACATCTTATATAAATACATTACAAATATACAATTACTTACTTAACCCAGTTGTTAGGAAAATTCAATTTATTGCACATGTTTGTTGTTTTTTTGAAGTAAAGGTGAAAATGAATCTATATACTAAAAAAAAAAAAAACCATTTTGCTTAAACCATCTTAACCATCCTTTGGTTTCACTTTTTCATAAGTTAACACTAAATCTCAGGTACATGTATTTTTTTTATATTTTATTTATTTTAATTGTTATTTAACTTAAAATTGTATAATTTTATTATATAATTATAATTAATAATTAATTATAATATTAATAATTTAATAATTAATTATCATATTAATTATATTCACTAATTTCGTGGTTCGTTTGATCAATTAATACATTACAATTAATTAAGGTTTTTAGTTGAGATGAAAAAAGCTAATGACACGAGCGGGATTCGAACCCATTATCTTCGGCTAGATACGCTGCTGCTCTACCACTTGAGCTATCGTGACCTCGATCCACTCGGACATCAACTTTCCATCTCAACCCCACCTTATGAGTTTTCCCTCCTTTTTGCCATTTTTCAAATGTCGTGTAATCGGATTGGATGTCCAAGTGGATCGAGGTCACGATAGATCAAGTGGTAGAGGAGCGGCGTATCTAGCCGAAGATCGTGGGTTCGAATCCCGCTCGTGCCATTAGCTTTTTTCATCTAAAAACCTTAATTAATTGTATTATAATTAATATTTTATTATAATTATATAATTTTAAGTTAAATAACAATTAAAATAAATAAAATATAAAAAATTTTTTTTAAAAAATACATGTACCTGAGATTTAGTGTTAACTTATGAAAAAGTGAAACCAAAGGATGACCGATGAGGGTCACTAGACTTTAAGCAAGACTTTTTTTTAGTATATAGATTCATTTACACCTTCACTTAAAAAAAAAAAAAAAGAAAAAAAGTGCAATAAATTGAATTTTCCTAACAACTGGGTTAAGTACATATTTGTATTTTTGTAATGTATTTATATAAGATGTGCTATGTAACTCTGTTCATGTAAATTTTGTTTTTTAATAAATTAGACCCTGATGATGACCTCATTCGCCTGTAATGACCGCAAGAAGATTCAATACAACATCAGTTTAAACTACGTAGGTCGATCAACGTCAACTAGAAGGGGTGCGTTCTGGGAGGGTTAGAGTGTTGTTCCAGAACAATAGCCACAAAGAATGTGTTAAGGGGAAAGTAGTTCTCGAGGCCATCGTTGATTAAGGAGACATGGTGGGTTCTCGGGATGGGAATGAGGGCTTAAACAATAAAGTTAGGATGCGAACAGTTCGTTGACAAAAACGGGCATTGAGGTTGTTGTGGTTAGTGACAAAGGAGCTTTGGCAATTTGTCTGAGGACTTTTGATTTGATGAATTTTGCTGGATGTTTATTGGCTTGGTCAAATCCCACAGTTCCACTGTCCAAAGGGATCGTGGTAAAGTGCCTTATAAGGCTAGTTTAGTTTTGATGGTCAGAAAATTTCGGCACTATAAGTTTTTGTAGTAGTACAATCTTCTGTTAAGTTGTGGCTTTTGAGTCTCGTATGCTGACTATTTATAACCCTAAATATTTTACTGGAATGAAAGTCGATTTGTTGATGATGTACAGTGGACAGCAAGACTGTATTTTCAATATACACTGACACTGAGTACATTTTTCTTCACTGTCCTCCACTCTTTCCAGCAGTGAAGCTGAAGATGTGCTGGGATAGAATTAGAGCTATAGACAAAATTGAAGTAATATAAATGATTAATAATGTCGTGGGTGTGGAGTTCAATCCTTTTTAAAAAGATGGTTCCTACTCACAGTAAGTTGTTTCGCAACAATCCGGATTTCAAGCCTTTTAGCTCATCATCAGGTTGAAGGGTTTCTACAAACACGCCTCTCGACATGAATTGCAGGTTTTTTAATGGCGCTTTTTCGCGCGTTCAAAACTTTTTGCCATACATTGGTGAATTATCGAAAAAAGTTAGTAAAATTTTTAAACAAGAAGGTTTTAGAATAGCTTATCGAAGTACGGGGTCACTAAAAAACATCCTCTCAAAACCTAAAGACAAGGTAGACAACTTGGCAAAAAAACGGGGTTTACCAACTCAATTGTAATGATTGTAATATTAAACATATAGGTCAAAGCGGTGGAGAAATAAAAACGAGAGTAAAAGAACACTTGCCTAAATCGAGCAAATTTTCAGAATTTAAGGACCATCTAAAAGAAACAAAACATAATTTCAATTCAAATTTAAATAAAACAGTGTTACATAGTTTCAACAAGGGAGAGAATAGAGTGGTTTGAGAAATTTGAAATTAAAAAATGTAAAATTGACCATGGTGATAAATGCAATAATAATATAACATATTTTGATCTCCTCCCATTTTAAATATGTACATAAATAATATTAAACATCCAAATAATTATTTTAATTATTATTTTTATAATAATTTAATAATATTAAGTTATTTGTGTTATAATTCCCACTTTTCGCACGTTCAAATTTAGCGCCATTAAAAAACCAGCCCCTCACTGGAACATTGCGTTGGCGGGGTTATTAGAGGGTTCACTTCTGCAATTCATGTCCAGAGACGTGTTTGTAGAAACCCTTCAACCTGATGATGAGCTAAAGGGCTCGAAATCCGGATCATTGCAAAACAACTTACTGTGAGTAGGAACCATCTTTTTAAAAAGAAATTGAGGTAATGTCCGCATAGGCAATCATGGTATTGGAATGTGCAGGTAAGCGGTATATAAGATATAAACCAAGAAAGCTCTAAGAACTCATTGCCACACCTCATTGTGAAGCAAGTCTTTTAGGTATGATTTCAGGATAAGATAATAAGGAATGAGTAGGAAACATTTAAGTTTATAAAGCGTACTGGGAGTGCCAGACCCTAGCGAAAGCCTGTGCTACATCTAGAAACACACCCAAGCCAAGATTTTTTATTCTCTAAAGCAGGAGATAGCAGACTCCTTGTTGGAACGTGGAATGATGAGGAAGCCAAATTGGTGAAAGGAATGATTTTATGAGAATCTAGGATGGGTATTAACCCCTTTGAAGGGTCATTGAAGGAAGGCTGATGTGTCTGTAAGAGGATATGTGGTTGGGAATAACAACACATTACCACAAGAAAGGAAACTGAGTGATTTGTAGTATGGTGGAGGTAATTAGATCATGCAGGGGATTTTCTACATTACTTCCAAAGGATAAAAACGGAACTTACAAAATAAATTAATCAATATGAAATATTTAAAAAAAGTTCGCAGCTTACTTCTTTGATCAAAAGCTTCGGTTATTTTTCTAAGCGTGAGCAACCGGCGTAACTTCCGTGTTTCCGTTAATCGAGACATTTTGATTATTCCAACAACAACCAAACTGATGGTTCTGAAAATAAAAATATTTAAACTTGTTCTATTTTTTTATTTTTTAAAACAAAACTTACTTGAATGTGTGTTTTTTATGAGCATGTTTAAAACCTAATGAGAGCCTTGCTAAATTTTCTTTTTCGGCGTCTTGATACCCTTTAATGACAACAAGCAAAAACCTCTTCTGATAAGCCAAAGATTTCCTGAAGCTCTCAGCATGCATGCATTTGTTTAAAAAGTTAAAAACCTACAATTTTATTATTAAAAAAAAAAAAAAAATCACACAAGATTATAAAACCTTACACTTTCTTTTAATACAGGTTGTTTAAAATTATTAATTCTGTTGTCCAGATGCAACCAAAGTTTAGGTTTTTCTAAGTTATGTGGATCAACTGGGTTTTCAGTTATCTAAAAGAGATTTAACATGAATTACAAAAATATATTAGAAGATTTTAAAATGTTTTGACACTCACTCTTTTTAAGTTTTCTATTTCTTTTTCAAGATCCTTTCTTTCGACTTTTAACTGAGAAACTGCTGACTGAAGAGCACCTCTTTCTCTTAACAGCCTTTCTATAGTAGAATTCAATTCCTGGTTGAATATTAAAAAAAACAAACATTAATTTAATTAATTTGATGAATTTTTTTTTTCAATTTATCATAAAATTTCACATACTGATAATTGTTTTAAAAGAGGAGAGTAAGAACCGTCCCTCATATTTTCCTCTTGTTGCTGAACTTGAATGTGATTTTTCAAATCTGCACATTCTTCCTCTAAACCTTTCTGCAATAGTGATATATTATTATTGTAAAGTTTTGATATAATATGTTTTTGTTACTTACGATCACAGAATGTGCAGTTTCGATTGTTTTTTCATAAAGTTCCTTATTTACGTTCTGTTGTGAACTTGATATAGCTTTTATTCTGTTCTCTATAATCGCTCGTTTGTTTTTCTCGAGTCGAATTTCATTCATTAAACTATTCACCTAGGAGCAAAAACAAAATAATTTAAAAAATAATTTTTAGATAGAAATAATTTGCGAGGATAGTTTGTTCACCTCAGCTGTTAGCGATATTTTTTCCTGTTCTACTTTATGAAGGTTGTTCTTTAAAGACAATAGAGCATTCCTTTCTCGAGTAAGCACGTGTTGTAAGTCTCCGTTATTTAATCTTTCCCTTTCCAGCTCGATCAAGACTTGGTTGTATTTCTCTTTTTCTTCTTTGAGCAAATCCTAAAAAACAATTTTCATTAAAAAATGATCATGTGGGTGTTTCATTTTTTTAAAATATAAGTACTTCAAAATTATTTTCACTTTCAGAGTCTGACTGGTACTTTTCCATTATTTTGATCGAATTCAATTGAGCCTCAAGGTTCTCGACTTTCTGCTTTTCTTCCTCTATCATAGTTTTCAACTGCATCTCATTTTCCATCAGAGTTTTAAGTCTGACTCTCATATTCTAAAAGATGCAATTATTATTTAAAAAGATTGAATAACGGAATTGAATTGTAACTAATCATTTTGGCATCTGTACATCCATGGTGGTTTGATCTGCCAGACAGAAATGGAGAAATGTCACAAGGAAATATTAGGTTAAGTAGATTCATTTCCAAGGGGACCGCGGTAGACCATTCTTTGCTGGTCAAAGGGTAGGAGTAGAAAGAAACAAGAGCAGATGCCCTTGTAAGGAAAATGGCTCCTACCGCTAAGCCCTTCTGCGGCCTAGGGATTCACACTATCGATTAGTGAGTTAGACGGACAAAATGAAAATCCAATCACGGAAAACAATCTTTCTAGCAAATTTTGGTAGACTGCATTAAAAGAAGCATGAAAAACTTTGAATCTTAACAGGGTTTTAACAGTGTGGTGCCCAATTTTTGGAGGAAGAAAACAGGAAAAAATCAGGAAAACTATGGCCCTAGGCACCCAGAAACCAGGTGGATTCTTGTTCTTTAAAGACCAAAATTAATTTGCTTCATTCAAAAACGGTCCTTAGTGTCATTTCGAAAAAAAAAAAAAAAAAAAAAAAAAGGACGGTTTTAAGTTTTGTGGGGTAGTTTTATCAATTTGTGCAAGAAAGGTCCCTATCCAGATACTCGTTTGGCTTAAAAAGCAAGTTAATTTTCCAATTCAATTAAGAGAATTAATCCTTATTCCAGGACTACGTTTCTGCACAAATCTCTCATTAAGCACGTCTCCTGGAGTGTTGAAGGCCTAAAATTTCATCGATACGCTAGTACACCCACATTCAGCATGCACAAAGGACCAATTGTGCTGGAACTTACAAGTGGAAAAGCATACCCTACAGAAATTCCTTTGAAACTGGCTAAAGTTAACGATGTTGTTAAGCTACAACCATACATCCCAGAAAAATACATCCATTTTTTTAGGTATCTAATCAACTGGCCGACCATTGCTGATGAGAACTTAGAATAATTTTAAAAATGATACATTGAGTTTTATTCGTTAATTCATTTTTATGGTATCAAGTTTATATTGAATCAATAAATTATTTAAAACATTCATTTGAGCCTTTTTTTAATCCATCACCATCCATTCATGCAAAAAATGGACCTTAGTCCAAGAGCTGTTTATATTATTATTCAGAAATCGTGAGCCTGGGATTTACAAACATTGATTAAATTTAACAAATACATGTAAGATGTGGAAAAAAGTGAATTTATACAATGCAAAAAAATATTTTTTATATCCAATCAAAGTATTTCTACTCACTCAAAGTGTTTTTCTACGTAATTGTGCCATTCTTGCGTGTCATGCTGAGAGTGCCAGTGAGATATTGCTGTTTTATGTTTATGTATGTTGGATTTTGAAAGGGTGGGGAAGGAAGTCTGTGTAGAAAGACATTTTTATATAAGGAGTCGGCTTCTTTGAGGCGAAAAGAGACGACGATGGGAAAAAAACGTTGGTAATGGTTCGGCCAGATTATCCTTTCAGGATTATATACAGATGGGGATAATTAGGAAAAGAAAAGTTAAATTTTGAAAAATTAGACTATGTTTTATGTGTGGAATGTTTTATATGTTTTGTGTGATGTGATGACATATGTATGTTACCTATATTGAAGCTGTGTTTATCTCTGTTGATGTAAACCATTTCTAAAAAATTACGTTTATGTTTGTTTTGTTCTGTGTGTAATATTTTTGGATTGTTGAAGTCGAAATTGTGTTNGAAATTATTTTGATTAAAGAACATTGCTTTAAAGTAACTAGTTTCTTTTTTTTTGTTTAATACCAAAATCCTGCATTATTTTCCGGACAACCCAATATATATTACGTCAGATTTATTTGTTATTTGTGTGGGATCTTTAATTTTGGAAAAAAGTGTGTGAATTGTTTTATAGTTTTTGAAAGCTATTTTAAAGTTATCGGAAGAGAGAAATGTGTTTAATTTATGTGATAGGCTTTGAATGAATGGCATGGAAATGTACGTTGGTTTGTCTGTATTTGATAGATTTGATGTAGTATTACTAGTAATAGTGGATGGTGTTAATGAGTTGTTGATTATTCTGTTGATTATGTGTTTAGGGTAGAGATTGTTATGGAGGATCTGTTTGTGCATCTTTATGTTCTTGTGGATGATTCATGGCTTAGGGTAATCATTCTGTGAAGTAACCCTTTGGCCGTGTTTATTATTGTATGAAGAGGATGGTGAGATGTAAAGTTGAGGTAGCGATCCGTGTTTCTTAGTTTTTGATACCAATCTGTGATTAATGTGCCATTCTGGTTGTTTTATTACGAGTGTGTCTAAAAATGGTATTGTTTTGTTGTTTTCGATTTCATGTGTAAATTGAAGGCGTGGGTGAAAGCTATTGTATGTGTCTAATGTAGTTTGAATTTGATCTGTGGGAACTGCTGTCAATATATCATCTACGTATTTAGTGAGGAAGGGTAATGTGAAAGGAAGTTGTGGTATGACTGTATTTAATAGATGTGTCACGATTATGTCTGCAAGTATCGGTCCTAGGTTGCTACCCATAGCTATACCAAATAGTTGTTTGTAAAATATCCATTAATACAGCAGTGTCGACCCATTTTTATGAGCTCTTTGATAGACTTGTGTGTGGTATTATGTTGGGCCATTTATCTTTAATAATGTTCAATGTATCTAATGTAGTGTCTATTGGAATGTTGGTGAACAATGATGAAATATCTAGGGATATGAGAGAGTAGTGTGAGGGTATGTGAATATTATTAATTTTGTTAATGAAATGAAACGAATCTTTTACATTATTTGTATTATCTGTGATGTTGTTGAGTATGTTGGTTAGGTATTTTGTCATGTTATATGTAGAGGAATTTACAAATGAAATTATGGACCTTAGAGGGTGTTCAGGTTTGTGTTTTTACAGATCTGTATAGTTTCGGCAGCGTTGGTGAGTTGTTTTGAAGTGATTTGTAGGTGTATATGTCAATTTCTTTTTTTTTTAGTTTATTTTGTTGGCTGTTTATATTTTTATTGTTTAAATCATAAAATTTACATCTACATGCAATGACATTTCTGCTATCTAAATGAACACTCAGAAAAAAAATTTCCCTTCTTGCATAAGTCAACTGTCCAAGGAGAAATCGGTAACAATTGGTATAATCGAACCCGACACATTGCAGATTCTGCAAGTGGACACACGAACACACCATCAATAAATTGTGGTGTAACACGCAACCGTAAGAGGAAATGTTTTGGGATGGATGTAACTATAGAAAACCAGGCCTACAAAAATTTTTTCAAGGAACTAGAACAATGTGCTGTAGGTAGAGAGTGGGTATTACATTTACATGAGATAATCCTTGTCTTTTTGCTTGTGCATATATCACAATATTTTCAGAATATTTGAATATTATTTGGCCATTTAAGTGTTCAAAATATAATAATGAATAGAAAGCCGGAGAGAGGAAGATTTTTTTTTTAAATTTAAATGTCACCTCGATTAACTGAATATCGTCTTTCTGTGAAGATCTTGATTTCTTCCTTTCTTCTTCAATCAGATCTTCCAATCTTTTCGTGGTAGCCTTTTCACACGCGACTGCCAGTTCGAGGGTCAAATTGTTATTTTTTTGTTGCTGGAGTTGAAGACTAAAAATAAAAATATTAGCCGTTAACCGTTGTTATTAAAATATATTAAAATCAATACTTTAATTGATTTATCGTCTTTTGCTGTGCATTTTTTATCCTTTCAAGTCTTATAAGTTTGGCTTCAAGTTCTTGCTTGTATTCCTTCAATTCACGATTCTGCTCTTCTAAACGACTTATCTTGAGCTTCAATTCATTTACAAATTCCATTTTTGCCATCAATATATTTTCTAAAACTAGGTACTTTTGCCCCTAAAACAAAACCACGTTTACCAAAACTACTAGGAACGGTTTAAAGTATACACTAACCTCCAGTGAACGAGTTTGATCAACTAATTTTTCTTTCTCCGACACTTCTATAAAAATATATATGTATATATAAAATAAATAAATAAAAATAAATTATTTATAAATTATATACCTGATTCTTTAGTAACATTTGGGAATTCATTATGACTGTTTTTACCAGTTTGAATATTTTCAACATCTTTCTGAATTGAAGACAATTTCAACGTTAGTTCTTCCTTGTCGGCCTCTGCTTTTTGTAGTTTTTCTATCGCAGACTTCTCCGATTTTTTACACTGGTTAATATCTTTTTGAAGAGTGTTTATTTCTTCTTCAAACTGTGTAATATTTTTGGAGTTTGTCTCCCTGATTTTATTAATCGTCTCTTGCAATTCGCTTATTTTCTTATTCAACCTGTTTATTTCTTTGTTTGCGTTTAAATCAATTGAATCGTTGCGGTTTTTCAGCTCTTCCAGCTCTTGTAGGATTTCAAGCTTTTCAGCTGTCGTTTTATTAATCTTGGTTTGTAAATTTTGAATTTCTATTTGAATGTTTTGAATCTCTTCGCACTCTTCAAAATTATCTTTTATATCAGAAATTCCTTTTGTTGACAACTCGTTTTTAAGATTTCTAACTGAGGAAACAAAATTATCAAGCTTATTTTCTGAAGCTTCTAAATTCATTAATAATTTTTCATTTTCTTTGCTTAAATCTTCTATTCTTCTAGTGTAAAAGATATTCTTTCTGGATAAATCTTCTTTCTCTTTTTGCAGTTTGTCACTCAAGCCTTTTTCAGATATAAGCTGTTGATATATTTCTTTTAGTTCTTCATCTTTTTTGTCTGATTGAAGTTTTATAACTTTTAGTTTATTATTTTCCATCGTTAGTTCATTTATTTTTGTTTGGAGCTCATTTTCATTTTCTCTCGATGCCAATGCTTCCGCTTCTTTTAATTTTTTTTGCAATTTTTTCAGCAGGTTTTGACATGCTTGCACATCGGCTGTTATTTTTACAATCTCTTTTTCTTTTTCTTCTAAACTACGTTCCTTTTGTTCTAATTCGGCCTCTTTAATTTTAAGCAACTCTGTCAACGATGCAAATTGTTTTTCATAATAGTCTTTGTCCTCGTCAATCGAAGCTACAGCCATTTGTAACTCCATCTTGGTATTTTCAAGATCTTTCGCAAGTTTTTCAAAATCTTTCAATTCTTTTTCCATTCTATTAATTTGCTCGTTTTTCTCAGCCAACTCAAGAGTCAGCTTATCGATAGTGCCAAAACTAATTTCCTAAAAACATATCAATGAAAAAAGCAGAACATTTGTAAAATTGAATGTTTTATTTACCACTTGCTCAACTTTTTCTGGAGATAAATTACTTTGGATTGATAAATTGCCAACTGAATGCTCCGGTAAAACACTACTCTGTGCAATAGGGGATGGAATTTTTTCAAGTTTGTCCTAAAATTTTAAAAAATATATTTAAATAAATCAATCATTGAATTAGAAGTAAATGAACATTTTTACCTGAAAGTTGAATATTTTTGAAATTCCTGGACCACACTCCAAACTATCTCTTGTATGCTTTGCGTCTCTTAGCTTTGATTCTTCTGATATGTCACTTGAATTGAGAACATCAGCGGCAAAGCTCACTCTTAAGTTTCTAGACTGTTTTGAACTTTTTTCCTCCTCGGCCTGAAAAATTAAAAAAAAAAAAAAATGAAAAAGTAGATGGAACTTGCCATGGAATATTTTTCTTCTTCATACCTGATTTTGAAGCATGGCCAAAGTATGCTGAAGGTGTTCAATATCTTCATTTTTATCGTCGAGTATAGCATTAAGAACTTCTATGTCCCCTTTTGATCTTTCTATCAATTCCCTCTCTCGTTTATATTTCCCTAAAATATCCTGGAAGTGATATTTAAATTAGATGGATTAATTAATTATTAATAGTGTAAAGGTTAATTTACGTGTACCTCCAATTTATTCTTTTCTGTTACAACCGCAGCAAGCTCGAGTCTTAATGTGTCTACTACGTCCTGATCGCAAAGTATCATAGTGCTAATCTTTGCTTGTTGTGCGGAAATCTGCTCTTCTGCCTTTTTCAAATGTTCTTCTTTCAGCATTACCTAGTAGTAAAAATTTGAGATGAAGTTGCGGGGGAAAAATAATGGTTGTTTTACCTCGTTAATTTTTACATCTAGACTTTGCTTGAGCTCAGATATTTCTTCTTTGAGATCTTGATTCGCCTTTATAAGGTCACGGTTAGCTGAAACATGTGCGGCATCTGCTTTATGCCTTAGATCATCAATTTTATTGTTCGCCTCTGCAATTTGAGCCATCTGTTTTTCAACTCTTTTTTGTAAAATATCATGTTCAGCTTGGATCTCCTAAAATGAAAGTTATTTTAATAATGTACAATAAGGATTTTTACGTTTTTCAACTTTACCTCGATGTAGCTAGTTAATTTTCCTATTCTGATATCCTGATCTCGCACTTTTTTAATTACAACTTCATCAGATCTCGCATGCTTAAGGATTTTTTCATGCAGCTTGTTCACTTCGTCGACAGGAAAGCCGACAGGGGATGGGCACAATTCTGGAGTCGTACTTCGAAAGCAATCCAAATGTTCCCTAAAATGAAATTTCACCTTGAATATGCAAAAAAAATTCTTTAAAAAATTTAAAAATCAATTTATACCTTAAAGATATTTCTTCAGAAGGAGAACTCAAACTATTAGTGGAGGTGGCAACATTGAGCGCTTCGAGTTCTTTAGTTTGGTCGTCAATTAATTTCTCCATGTCTTTAATCTGAAAAATAAATTCAAGTCGTTAAAGAAAATTTACAATATTACATAATTTATTTTAAAAACCTGGATTTTAAAATGGCGCATGTGTGACGAGTTAAAATGCTGTTTTTCCTGGAGTTCATGCAACTGGTTAAGACAAGTTTCATCCAAGCTTTGGTTTCTCAATGATTCAAGCTAAACAAATTAGTAAAACAAACTTTTACAATCTGTTTTTCTAGTTAATAAAATGAAACTTTACCTCCTGAGCCATTAAACTTTGAGCACCGCTTTGGTGTTCCATTTCTGCTTCTAAATCATCGAGACGCTGTTCCAAGAGAGAACCTTCTTTATTTTTCAAAGCCAATTGGGATTCAAGATCTGTAATGATTTCTCTAAGGACGCATATCTGAAAATAGATTCATGAATACAAACTTCCATTTCTAGTGATATAAAATTTAAAAAAAAAACCTTTTCAATAGCAGCCTTTAATTCCGATTCAACAGAATCCTTCTTGATTTTAGTCTCTTCGAGCGAATCCAACGTCCTCCTTAATTCACAATTAAGTTCATCCACCTACGTTTTACAGATGTCATTTTATTACATTTTGACATATCTTAACTTGATAAATTATAATTAAAAAATTATGAAACGGTGATTATGTAAAGCAGTTTATTAAAGAAAAAGAAATGGAAATCCATGAATAAAGTAATTAAAACTTATATGCATTTAGTAGTCATAATTGACAGAATTATTTTGTCTTGGTGGAGATGAAAATGGAGTGGATCAAAATCATGGCAGCTCAAGTAGTTTAAGCACGGTGTATTGAACCGAAGGTCATGGGTTCGAATCCTGCTCATGACATTAATTTTTCCATCTCAACCCAAGTCCTTAGATAAGAACTATAAATAATTTAAGTAATTAAGACTGTTCAAGATCAAATAATTTATTGATGTGCTTTATTGCTTCATATAAAAGGGATTTATTTCATGGGATCTCAGTTCTTACAATATTAGAATAATACTAGGTGAAAAGTTGAAGCTATCTTTACCCTGCGCAGCAAAAACATAATATCAACCCATTCAAGATGTTTCATTCATTGTGAACAACACAAAAAATGCATTTGTTAACAATAAAAGCAATATTTGAAAATTATTAAGCGCAGTAAAATGTTAAATGTTTATCAGATACTTACAAATAAATCTATTTATAAAACAAGAGGCAACATGCAAATACACTCACTGTTTTGGAAACTGGAGCAGCGTGTTGTGTACCCATCGCCAATACCTAATCAGTGCATCATGCAAGAGAATTGTTAAATTAGTGAAATGAGCAAATAAAAGCAAGTGACATTCTTAGATGTATATTTTTCTCCATCCAACCTGTGAAGCATGTGATATATAGAAAAAAAATGAAAAGAAACTGGCAAAACGCTAATACAAAATGGATATTTGATAACAATACCTTGAAAATTGTAACATTTTATAGTATAAAAGAAATGAGAATTTCTTTAAAAAGAACTCCATGGTTTTATAACTGGTTGTGTTGCGATATGAAAGAGATTTAAGCTGTTAAAGCAGAAAGAAAACAAACCGCTTAAGTCCTATAACCTAAGAGTTTGGATGATTGCCAATAAACGGATACTACGTGGCAAAATATATTATTTACAAATTTTTTATATTTTTATTTCATAACGTTGACCAATGCCTACCAGTTATTAAATAAAATGTGTGCTTAATAAGTGTTAAAACCCATGAGGACTATCTACTTTTGTTTGCATGCAACAGCAAACAGTGCCCATATCATGTTCATTTTTTTACAGTTCAATAAATTAAAAGAAAAAAAGAAAAAAGAAAAAAAGATATGTGGGTTTTTATAAAACAACTTTAAATTTTATGCTGCCTAGTTAACTGTAGAAACTAAATATGGCTACAAAGTTAATCATGTAGAATCGGCTGGTGGTGAGGTTCGTAGTGGAGATATTTAAATTTTCCTTTATAACTCGATTATTTCAATTTATCATGAAAAAATTTGACACTTTAATTGAATAAAGAATGAAAATGTTTTGAAAATTTTTGTTGATTTAAATTTATAAATATGCTTCCCAAAGGTAATCTGGTGCAGAATTTTAATAAGTTGGCACGTTACACCAACCTGATGATAAACTTTTTTTCAAATGTAATGCCCTATTAAATTTTTATTACATTTTTGAAAATCTTTTCCATTCTTAAAAGAAAAAAAAAAGACCAAAAACTCAAAAATCCATCGTTCAAGAGATATTGATGTTTTCCTTCAGAACTAGATTTTTTAAATTTATCGTATAATTGATCAAATTGTGTTTATTTAAACCCAACTTTAAACAATAAAAAAAGTTTCATGATAAACTGAAATTAACAGGTTATGAAGGAAAAAGTCAATATCTCCAAGTGAATCGATGGATTTTTGAATTTCTCTCTTTTTTTTTCTCTTTGAATGGAAAGACTATCAAATTAAGTGAAAAAAAAATCATTAGCAAAAATTCATTCTGAAGATGAAAGTTTTCCTTCAGAACTTGATAAATTTCAATTTATTGTGTCAAATTGTTTTTTAAAAAAGGAGAAAATTTAAAATTCAACAGAATAAAATATTTATTCAGAAATTGTGAGATGCGGCCTGGTGTGATGTAGGTTTCAGAAAAACATTTTCTTTTCTAAAACCTATATCACACCAGACCGCATCTCACAATTTCTGAATAATTATTGATTAATGGTCACTAATCACCACACAGAATAAAATATGTAAGTTTAAATCTACACAAATTAATTTTGCATGTTTTATTCAATTGTTTTATTTTTTTTTTTAAGATATATTGAAATAAAAAAGTTCTTGTGGAAAAATTTCAATATCTTCAGAATGAATCGATGAATTTTTGAACAAAAAAATCATGAGCATAAATTCAATTTGGAGGTAGAAGTTTTCTTTCAGAGTTTTATAATTTTAATTTACTGTGAAACTTGTTTAACAAAAAAAAAAAGAAAAGAAAAAAAAATTCAACTGAATAAAGTATGATAATTTAAATCAACACAAATTAATTTTTCATATTTTAATCAATTAAATTTCCAATTTTGTTACATGACAAATTGAAATTAACAAGTTCTGGTGGAAAAACTTCAATATTTTCAGAATGAATCGATGAATTTTTGTGTCCTTAAATAATTTTTTTTAGAATTGAAAGGACTCAATTTGTGGACAAAAAAATCATTAGCAAAAATTCAGTTCTGGAGGTAGAAGTTTTTCTTCAGAACTTTATAATTTCAATTTATTGTGCAACTTGATTAACAAAAAAAATTCAATTCAATTGAATAAAATATGATAATTAACACAAATTAATTTTTCCTATTTTAATCAAACTTTCAATTTTTTTACATGACAAATTGAAATTAACAAGTTCTGAAGGAAAACTTCAGTATAGGGGTGTCCGTGGCTAAAATGGCACTCATCACTGTAAAGGTCCCGGGTTCAAATTCAACGGCCCTGCATTTGAACCTGACATAGAAAATAAAAAAACTAGTTGAACCATACTTAAGTTTTACAATAAAATAGGAAGCGTAAAAAATAAAAAGCCATATCTTTTATAAAAACACACGGTATAATGATGAAAAAGCCATTGACTTAAGAAATGAATGAAAATCTTTGAAGGCTTTAAAATATACAAAAATATTTTACCTCTGAACTGAACATTTCCCTAGCCAGACACTCTTTTCCTTTTTCTTTAAGTTGATTTTGCAGATTTGACATTTCTCTCAGAAACTCGTCACGTTCGTGTTCTCTTTCCGACGCCTGTTCCTCGAGAAACTGTCGAGTCGCTTTGATCTGTTTGTCAGCGGATTTGATCTAAAACACACAAAAAAAAACCCTCGATGAATGAGAAAAGTGGTTCTTTAAAAAAAAAATCTTTCGTACCTGTTGTTGTAGATCCTCCCGCTCCTTTTGCAATTCTTCCAAAGCATTGTCTCCTTCTCTTGTCATTTCCTCGAGTATTTTCATGACTTTGTTCGACGTGTAACCTTGTCCCAGATCTAGCAGCATGATTCTCGCTACAAACAACATTATTAAATATTTAATTCGCTTAATGGCTAACAGAAATACCTTTATTTTGCAAGTAATTGTTTGTTTGGTGACCTGCATGGCTGTCATATTCACTATAATCATACACGGATTCACATTGCTTTGATAAAATTTCGCTCGAACCTTCAATTTTCTAAAAAATAAAATAATAATAAAAAAAAATTATATTAAAAGTCATTCATTAAACAATTTACTTACTTGATGTTTTTCTAGTGAATTTTTTAAATAATCTATTTGCTGTACCAACTGAGAGTTTTTTTCCTCGAGTCGAACAATTTTTTCATTTAATCTATCAACCTCGTATTCTTGTTCTGCGTTTGGATTCATAGCCTTACTAAGTCCCAAAAGGGCCACGGCTTCTTCTTTCAATTTGTTCAAGCATGATTCCAACGTTTGCCTTATTGTTGACGTTTCATCTAGGGCGTTGTCAAAACTGTCTGACAGCATCGTCTCATCGAGTTCTTTAATTAGCATCGAAAGATTCGAGACGAAATTCAACTTTTTAGCGCTCAGATCGTTATGCCTTGTGCTGTTGTCTTGCCAATCGGCTCTTAAAGTTGGAGACGGTGGCGATTCCTGACAAATGTTAGCCATCTCTGAAGTGATAGCTTTTATAAGTTCATCCTCGCTGTTGCTCAAATAATTGGAAAGTTGGGAAATCGCCAACATCAACGTTTTTTGCATCAACCTCAAATTGTCCCTTTAAAGAAAACAACATTAATAAATAACATAATAATAATACTTTATATACCAAATACTGCATATACAATAATATCAGCATTATATTTTCTTTTGGCAGTATTTAAAGATATTTCTTATATAAAAGAAAGAGAGAGGGGAAGAAAGAAAGAAGACAAAAAATTTACTGTATAAATTACTACATATAACTATCCAAAAGTACAAATATTGATAAATAAAACTGTAAAAGAAAAAAGAGAAAGAGAACAAAGAAAATAAAAACAATGTGTGCAAATTTAAGGAGTCGAGCGGAAAAATGAGCTGGGGTTTCAGTAAACAGTAAGTACCCAGGTACCATTAATTGGCAAGAAAAGGACATCACCGTCATCACATCACCACATCATTAAAAGGAGTAGGTGCCGCCATTTTGAGCAAAACAGTGAACACGAATTCAGTTTAACAGAACAATCTAGTAACAGCCGAACTTCTAGCAATTGAAAAATCCCTACAGCTCTACAACCCTAAAAGTAATCATATCATAATCTGTTCCAACTCATTATCCTTTTTAACCTCAATTCAAAATCTCTTTTCCTTAAATCCCATCATTCAAAATATATTACACTCTCTAAGATCCCTACACCCAAAAAATATCCAAGTCACTTTCAAGTGGATCCCAGGTCATTGCAATATTCCAGGCAATGTAAAGGCCGATCAATTGGCCAAAAAAGATATAAAAGATGGTACCCCTTTTAACAAAACTATGCCGCAAGATTACAAAAACCTATGAATTTGGTCTCTGGTCAGGCATAAACAATACATTATCAGAGATAAAAAAGATGTGAAATCTTGGAAAAGCTCCATACTGGAATGCCGAAAAGAAGAAACAGCCCTTATGAGACTGACCCATGGACATTTAATGTGTAATAGGCCTTCTCCCTGAGTGCCAAAAATGCGTAAGATTAACAATCAAACACATTATCTGTGAATGTAGCCTGTTTTCAGCACAGAGGACAAAACTTTGTACATCTACAGACATTAAAATTGCCCTTGAATGCGACACTGACTCCATTTTAAAAATCAGTTCTTGAAAAACATAAAACTCTACAAAGAAATATAAAAACAAACCAAACTATAATGTTCACTGTCTTTCTCATTTATATTCCTAACAAAACAAAAACATTTTAAATCCATCAATTAATTTGCATTAACCCGAGGGGATGGGAGTCGTCGCTGGTCAGGGGCTTGTCGCCGAGGGTTCGGCGGCACTTGCCTGGCGGGAGGACATGGGGTGTGGACTTTTCCATAGGCGACACTGTAAATGGTTTTTATCCACATCCTAGACAAAGGGCTCTATAACGTCTCAAAATATATTAAAAGTAAACGAAACGACTAGGGAAGCCTCCGGGTCCCCCCTGTTTGGTGGCCTCCCACCTTTTACTCAAAACTGTAACAGGGCTTAACAGGGTTAGGGTTGTTAGCTGTCAGAGAGAGAGAGAGAGAGAGAGAGAGAGAGAGAGAGAGAAATAACGAGAGAGAGAGAGAGAGAGAGAGAGAGAGAGAGAGAGAGAGAGAGGGGAAAAAAAAGAGGACATCATCAAATAATGGTAATCATTCTTTCCCCAGGTAATTTCTTTCTACATCCGTGGGGTGTAATTAAAATGTAGAAGTGGCAAACTACTGTGCAATACAGTGATCATAGGAAACAACCCTGATCGAATGTTCATCTTCTTACAAAAAAAGAAACCAGATAGCGATATGGCAACAGTCCCTGCCTTTTCCCTCCGAATTTCACTTATTTTTAACGTGAGTATGAAAATTCAGGGGGATCCTGTTTCTTAACCATAAAATTCTTACTTTTATTGCTTCATTTGCAAATATTCTTGGAAGTCGAAATGTTGGAAGATACTGATCTACAACAAACCTAAAACGGTTTCTAAAAGCAGTATAAAATCAGGCGTGATCGTGAGTAAAGCAAACTTCTTTATGAAAAACCTTAATAATTTTTCTAGATTCTCAAATCTCTGATAATCCCAAATTTGTGCAGCATAGGAGTCAATATATCTAGACACTGAGTTAAAAAATTGAAATTTCTTTTAAAAAGAAGGATCACAAAAAAGGAAACCCAACTGAACAGTATTCAACTTTTGCAGAAGAGACTTTGTGATTGAAAAAAAGAGGCAAGGGGTAAGGGCAATACCCCCCCTTATTAATTAATATTAATTGAATAATTAATAATAATGTACAGGTTGACAAGGTGCTCATCACTGCAAAGTAAAGGTCCCGATTTGAATCCAATGGCCCAATTTTAACGTGAAATACCTACAAATGGGCTTTTTCAAAAACACATTTATGAAAATCCTTTCCTCCACTGAAACCTAAATTTTTCTATTGTGGAACTCCTATAAATTATATTATAATTAAAAAAAGGAAAAAATGGGCATTGGTGGGTGCAACATTTTAGGCACTGACACGGGGCTCTCATCACTATAACCCCCCCCCCCCCCAAAAATGGTTTTATAACTTTTTTTATGTATGAAATAATACACTTAATATGCCCTTTTTTTAATGTATGATGTATATCAAATAAAATAAAACAATTTAGTACCTTTCTTTGACAATTTCCTGAAAACCAGCTGAAGACGTGTCTTGACCTTTTATACATTCAGTCTAAAATATGAAAGAATAATTAGTTAAAGAGACTAGACTAATAATTTTATTTTAAAAACAATATGTATAGTTTTTACCTTCAGTTCGACTTGTTTTTCAAAGTTCGATTTCATCTCATTCAGTTCTTTTATGTAATTTTCAGACTGATTGTTCATCATTTCTTTATATTTTTTCGAATAAACATGATCGAGGTCGTCAATCACGCTGTCCAAGTGATATTTAGATTTCAGAAGATTTTTGTTTTCAGGTAAAAACGCCTGAGATCAAAAATAACAAACATAAGCTTGAAATAAATTTGACTATGTCTGAACTATTGTACGACAAAGTCGACATTAAATAAAATATTGTCAAACCGAAATGAATAAATTATTATTATTACTACTACTAACAAGGTCATACCAATAAATCATTCAAGAAATTTTCCACCGCGTTTTGTTCAATTTTATCCAAATCCTCTTTTGCTACCTATAATAAACATTAATGTTTAGCAATACATCTTATTTAATATAAAATCCGACTCGTTTATTACATTTTTTGTTAGTACGTGTTTAAGTCTGTTAATTTTCTCTTGGAGAATAATAATTTTTTTCTCTTGGTTTGCCGCATGCCCCAAAACCTTCAAATGTTGTGAGTCCATATTGTTGGACAATTGTTTAATCTTTTCAATATAGCATGAATCTAAGTTGTCTCTAAGCATGCTAACCAACTCCGCTTTCACCTGACAAACAAACCCTATTAACTTACGATTTTAAAAGATCACAAATACGACAGCATCCTGGTCTGCCTACTCGCATTTCATCATCTATGTGTTATTTTAATGAGAATTGTCATTTATGTTAAATGATAAAACAAGTGAGATTCACAGACCAGGATTATCGAACATAAGTACAGATCCTTGTACATATAATATTTTACAAAAAATTAAGTTTTGTTAACAGGAAATGCCTTAAATAACCCTTTATCAAATGGGTTATCTTTGTATAATCACAAGGTTGAACCAGAGTATTTCATAACATGCATAATCATTTTAAAACTTACTTTGTTTATAGTTTTCCATGTTAACGATGTCCCCATTTCTTCTAACAGCATCTCCTCCCAGTCGGAACTGGTTAGCAATGGCATTCTTACTTTTGGTTTTTCATTAGTCCTGAAAAAAAGACTAATTATAGGTGGAAAAAGAAAAGAAAAATAAGAACATTTAAAAACTTACAAATTTATCAATTTATTGTCGCCGCTTCCTCCTACATCACATAGGTGGTCTGACACCAATTCACTTTCTGAACAGGAACTACTAAATGACATTTTTCTACTGTGTTGGCTAAATACTTCTTCGGAAAAACTGAAATAAAGCAATAATTACATTTAAAAATAAATATTACAAACATTACCAAAAAATACAAATAAATTGTTAAAACCTTTGATGTTGTTTGTGCTGGTAAATAAAATAAAATAAAAAGGAAAAAGGAAATAAAGTAAATGGAGAAATGTTATCAGACATTATGAAAAAATTGACTGAGAATAGGGAAGTATAATTTTTTTTTTAAATTCAATATGCAGCTTTTACTGCCCACAGTTTAATAACCAAAGAATATTATTTCAACAAAATATATTTAAATTTGAGAGGGTGAACTGAACCAAGAAAAAAATTAGTAGTGTTGGAAACCCTAACATTTTTATTAACAAGCTTACTTTTGAATAGTGAAAGTATCCAGGGTTAATTGTTTAATAGAAATAAGGTTTGTTTACTTAAGCCTAAAATGCTTCAAAATTTAATGTATAAAATATAAAAAATATATACTTTTTTTCCAAATCGGCACATTTTTTCTCAAAGTACATCCTGAGTTCTTCGACCTCCTTTCTGTGTTTTTCTTCGAGCTCTGTTCTAAAACTCAATAAGGCGCTTGTGTTACAGCCTCCTTCACAAAAGTGTTTGAGATCCGTTAAAAGCTTGTTTGTTTTCGCCACTTCAGCCTCATGGTCAGATTTCAAAAGATTAATAGCCGATCTGGAAGGTTTGTTTTGTCGGATTAAATGATTTAAAAAAAAAGGATTTACAAGTTTGTTATCGGCTGTCTTTTGTTTACCTGTGTTGTTTTTCAAGTTTGTCCTTCTCATCTTGCAGGTGGTGTAGTTTGTCTTGCAAGATTAAAAAGTCGTTTATATCACCGTGTTTTTCTTTAATGCTGTCAAAACACTTTTGAGTTTCTGAATTCATAGTTGTCACCATGATCTTAACATCTTCGATGAGCGATTTTTTGAATGATTTCAAACAATTTAAGAACTCTAAAAGGTCAGTTTTCATGAAACTTTATTTTATAAAAATTTATAATAAAAATAAATGAGACTAAAGTACCTTTAGCATATTCAATTAAGTTTTGCTTTGCCAAAAAAGTTCTATCATTGCATTCAATTATATCTTTAAGTTTTTCATCTTTTTCAGACGTTTTATTGTATAACATGAATCCTTTTTCAAGATTATTTCTTAACAGTTTTATCTGTTTTTGATACATGAGATTCCAGTTAGAAAGGAATTTCTATAAAATAAAATAAAAGTTAGACTTTTTTAAATTGAATAAATAAAATAAATTACCTCAATTGAGTTGAAATAGCCATTTAAAATTAATAAGTTAAAATGGTTCAGAAATTCACTGTCCAAATAATTTCCGCTGGTAAACTGCTTGACTGACCTATGTTCATCCTATAATAATTTTTTTTTTTAAATCACATATTATTTAAAAAATAAACAACCGGGCGGTGCATTTTTTCCTGCTTGAATGGACTTCTATCTAGCCATCATCAACTAGTTTATTTCAAATCGTTTGTTGTATGGAGACTGAGATCGGGGCTGCTGAGGGCAGGCCAATGAGCTTGAAACATACAGACTAAAATATTTACGCAGAAAGTAGTCAACAGGCACTCGATTATTCCTGTACAAATATTACATTCCCACCAGATTTCGAGTTAACATATACAGAGCAGTACGTTTTCAAGATTTATGAGTACATTGCTTAGGTCTTTTGTATATTTTAATTCTTGGAGAAACGAAAGACAATATTGACGGATCATGACAGTTTTTATTGCTAACAACCATAACGGCATGTACACAATACATAAATGTAAAAAGGTAAACTTTCCATTTCTCTCCTGTAAAATGTTCTTTTGTTAAGTTGTGTCACTTTTCTTGTGGGTGTGCGATATCAGCTCTCAAGGCAACATCACGACGACCTAGTATGCCCAATTACCCATATCCTATACCTATCCCGATTTATTTTGTACGTTTAGTTCGTCATCAAACACAAGATTTCAAAAAACAAACAAAAATCCTCCTTTCACCTTTCCTCCAAGGCTGCCTGAACGCATATTTGACCTTCTCTGATGTCTTTTCTAGAAGCATAGTTCACAGCATCATCAGCATACACAGCCACGCATACATTTCTAGGATTTGGAAAGTCATAGAGAAAGATGTGTGGTGATTAGTGACCGTTAATCGATATTTATTTAGAAATCGTGAGATGCGGTCTGGTGTGATGTAGGTTTCAGAAAAACATTTTCTTTATCGTGCCAACGTTTCGATCTTTATTGAGATCATCTTCAGGGCTCAAAGTGTTTATCTTCTGTGTAATTGTGCCATTCTTGCGTGTCGAGTCGAGCGTGCTGATAAAGAAAATGTTTTTCTGAAACCTACATCACACCAGACCGCATCTCACGATTTCTAAATAAATAAGAGAAAGATATCGAATAAAATGTGGGATATGACAGATCCTTGTGGTGTGCCAGTGAAGATATTATTTTTCTGCTGATGTGCTTTGATTTAAACATACCTTAACTTTATAGTTTTTAAAGGACCAATCTTTTTTAACTTCAATCTCAACCCATAAATGCAGCTACTGTGTGACTATTCTCCTCAAATCCTTTCACTTTGTTTTGAATTTAATTTACATATTTGGTGATAAGTTAAATGGTGTTTCAAAAAACCAAATTGATAAACTGGTATAACTTCTGTGGGGAATGGCACAATACATTTCTTAATGCATTTTTCAAAAATTTTTCTGCTGATAAGCTTATTGGCCAGTAGCTCTATGCAAGTTTTTTATCCTTCCTCGCCATGTGTAACATGATCACTTCTGCAAGTTTTCAGGTATCCGGGAAGTATCCTAAATGTAAGCAGCTGTTGAATACACTCACAAGCAACATTACGGTTTTCTGGGATTTTAAAAATAAAAAATGCCCAAAAGAAAAGGAAAAAAAATGGAAGCTAAATGAGACAGAAGAGTAGAATGACAAAATCGTTTGGTAGTAATAATGCTAGCAATTCAGCAACTCGAGCTACAGAAAATGGTACTGAACAGAGCATTAACAAGCAGAGAGTATTATCGAACCTGCTGCTTACGGGATCTGCAGCTAGAAATAGAATTTGCGTATATCTAGGATTCCAATTGATTTGCTATTTACAAGAATTACAATTCCCTTTTAAACTATCTCTCATTATAACGATTAATTAATCACCAAGACAAACGTAGAAATATGTGGGATAGGATTTTTGGGTTGAATGTTTCTCACAAGGACAATTATACATCGGTTTATCAAGAAATGAAAGTTTGCTTTTAGTCTTTACGATAAAATTAATAAAATTGCACCAGAGTCCATTTAAGCAGGTGGTGATCCTATGATGCATTGAAGAATGCACCATGCTATATAATTTGATTTATGTTTAAAATGTAATTAACCTACTTGTTTATTACAAGAATCTTCTACTTTTTCAAACAATTCTTTGCATTTATCAGCCTCATGTTGCAATTTTAGAAGAAGGATTTCTTCTCTATGCAATTGTTTTGCTGTATCTAATGATATCTCATATTGTTTGTTATGCTCTTCCTTAAAAATCAGATTTATTAGTCAGTTGTTTGTAATTATTAGAGATTTTGAATACCTTTAAAATTTTTCGAGCTAACAATATTTGGCAGTTGAAATTTTCCTCAAGGAACGTCTTCAATTTTCTAAACATCTTTGCCTCGGAATCGTTCAAACCCGATTCAATTGTTTGCACATCATGTTTAAATTTTTCCTGAAATAAAGATAAAATGAGTTTATGGTACATGATAATGAATTTCATTTGGAAATTTACCATCATATCGAGTAGCTCTTTAAAAGAAAGTTTATGTCGATCTTCAATCTTCTTAGGCAGTAAATTTACCAAGTGATCCTCGACAGCGTTTTCAAGATTCAATGCCTGCTGTCTAATTATTTCATTTAATTTCTCAATCTGAAAATTTTAAAAATTGTTTTTCAACCTCACCTCCACCAGGTGAAGTTCACATAAAAGATTTCTTCCTAAATCTTCAGTGGATATTTCTTTTTGACGGTGAGTACAAAAGTAAATTATATAGTTAAAACTATTACAAAACAATATCCCAATAAATGAAAACACAAATGGGAAAATGGCAAGGATATATTTGGAAGTATGTTTACATGTCGACCAACCCAAGGAGTTTGAATGGTATTGAGATTTTGGTTATCCTAGATCAATGAAAAAGTCTAGACCTGATTTTTATGATCCTCCTGTTGTTTGCTCAAATTAGTCGCAAATTGTGAATCATAGTAGAATTTTATCCTCTCCAGGGCTTTTTTATATTCCGTTTCCGCTTGTTTCAAAAAAGAGCTCTGCAATTGGAGTTGACTTTCACAAAACGTTTTATCCTTTTCGTCAGAGAGCAGATTCAAGTCTTTTTCAACCTGTAAGAACCGTTTAGTTATTGAAAAATATTTAAAAAATAAACAGAAAAGATTCATACTTCTTTATGGGCTTCTTGCAACTGCAAATTCTTTTTGTTCCACTGATTGTTTTGCTGTTCGTAACTCAGTTTTAACTCAGCATCTGCCAAATTTGACTGTACTATTTTCAGATTTTGATCTAAAACTTTTTTCTCTTCGATATGATCCTTGAACATAAAATTAAAAAAAATGTTTAACAAACAAATTCATGATGTATGATGAATACAATTTGTTGACGCCACCAGGAGATTTTAATGAGCCCGAGCAAGGAGACGTTAATTTTATTTGAGCTGAAGGAAAGGTTCATTTAGTTTATTTGTTGATGATGGAGGATTAGTAGGGTGATAGAACGGTTGGTTTTGGAGATCTACAAAAGACTAGTGTACGTTGATACGTTCAGTCGTGACGAGGGAAGTGGCTTTTTCTCCGTTCTGCGCCTGCGCGATGCCTTTTGTGATTCTCGGGAGACCTGCTCCGCCAACCTTACCGCAGCACTACCAAGAAGAAAGTGACTGTTTCCGACCCATGCCGCTTGAAGTGCCGAGGTACTCACCACTACCCTTCTGCTGACCTGTTGCCAGGACGACCTACCGACGCCAAGACGGGTATCGTTACTATCACCTGACAGCCTCCGTCCATCAACAAACCCAAATTTGTTATTTGACTCTCGAAATTGATTTGTATTTTGATTGATTTAGATTTTAAAGAAGTAAATTTTAGTTGTATTTTTTTTTTTTTTTGTTGATATGGAGCTCCGTCAGTTTAAGTTGCGACAACATTTTTATTTATAACTATTCAGAAATTGTGAGATGCGCTTTGGTGTGATGTAGGTTTCAGAAAAACATTTTCTTTATCGTGCCACGTTTCGATCTTTATTGAGATCATCTTCAGGGCCTGGAATTTACAAACATTGTTTTCATTTAACAAATACATTAAGGATGTGGAAAAAGTGAATTTATACAATGCAAAATTTTTTGCATTCTACCGCTTGACCAATTAATTAAGGTTTTTAGTTGAGATAAAAAAGTCAATTTGGGGGAAGTTAGTGTCCGAGTAGATCAGACGATAGCTCAAGTGGTAGAGCAGCGGCGTATCAATCCGAAGATCGTGGGTTCGAATCCCGCTCGTGCCATTGACTTTTTTATCTCAACTAAAAACGTTAATTAATTGTAATATTTTTTTATATTCAATCAAAGTATTTCTACTCACTCAAAGTGTTTGTTTTCTGTGTAATTGTGCCATTCTTGCATTACATCCCTATATCTGGACAAGAGAGTAAAACAACGTATCTATGAATGCAAAAAACCCTTGCAAAATCCTACAGCACTCACTATCCACTATTTTGAACACAAACACAATTTCGACTTCAACAATCCAAAAATATTACACAAAGAACAAAACAAACATAAACATAACTTTTTAGAAATGTTTTACATCAACAGAGATAAACACAGCATCAACTACAGAACGGATACATGTAAACTCAGTTGCAGCTACGCCAATATCATTAATAAAATTCAATACACACACACACGCACACGCGCACGCACGCACGCACGCGCACACACACACACACACACACACACACACACACACACACACACACACACACACACACACACACACATATATATCATCACATCACATTCCACATATCAAAAATTTTTCACATAGTCTAATTTTTTAACAATTTAGCTTTCCTTTTCCTATTTATCCCTTTCTATATAATATATAATCATGAAAGGATAATCTGGCCAAACCATTACCAACGTTTTTTCCCTTCGTTGGCTCTTTTCACCTCATCAAAGAAGCCGATGCCTTATACAAAAATGTCTTTCCTATACCGACTTCTTTCCCCATCCCTTCAAAATCCAACATATATAAACATAAAACAGCAATATCTCACTAGCACTCTCAACACGACACGCAAGAATGGCATAATTACACAGAAGACAAACACTTTGAGTGAGTAGAAATACTTTGATTGAATATAAAAAAATATATTTTGCATTATATAAATTCACTTTTTCCACATCCTACGTGTATTTGTTAAATTTAAACAATGTTTGTAAATCCCAGGCCCTGAAGATGATCTCAATAAAGATCGAAATGTTGGCACTATAAAGAAAATGTTTTTCTGAAACCTACATCAAACCAGACCGCATCTCACGATTTCTGAATAATTATCGATTAACGGTCACTAAACACCACACATTTATTTATAACTTTTCATTTATTTTGAATTTATGTTCCTTTTCTCATTTTATTTCATCACTCAACTTGAAATAATTTTATTGTCACATTAAAAGGCGTATTTTCCGTTTATTCTTGTGTTTTGTCTATTCCCCTGCAGTTAATATCAGAGTGTAGGCGAACCAGCCCCCATAGAGCATTGAGGATTACCCTTTAAACAAGAAGGATCACTCTACTCTACACCATTGATAATTTAGCAAGAATATTGGTCGTCTAAGATCATCCTGGTCAGTCTACTATCCTGGATTTGCCTATCAGACATGTTTTGGCTATTTTTAGAAGTTGCCTTTATTTCAGTTCATCTGAAGAATGATGAGCAAATGAGACAATATAGCTTTTGTTCTGCATCTTTTATGGATTGTTAGGTTTTTTCTATATTTCGCGATTTCCTAGTGTGGCAAATACAAGTCGGACACTCTAACCACCCGAACACCACAGCCCCTAGTTGTAGTATTTAGGATTGTTTTGTATGAAATGCATTGGATATTTTATAAACAAAATGTTAGGTTCATCATCTCACAAATTTCATTAGAATTTTCACAATAGAAATAAGAACTATTGTTATACTGTGATGGTGTTTTTCCTTGCAACTTTCTCCTGAGTATGCTAACATTTGAGATTTTTTATTTACTTTACTTCATTATGTGTTGGGATTTTATTAAATTGGACGAAGTGTGTTGGATATTTTAGCAACAATAAAGATGGTCGTAGATGATCAAGTTTATCGACTCACAAATTTCATCGAAATTTTCACAGTAGAAATAAGTACTATAGTTACCTTGATTAGAGCTTCTTTCTGTTCGAGATTGTTCTGCAAAAGTTGCAATTGCATTTCTGCCTTCCTCAGTTTGAACTTTTCTTCTTCTAGTTTCTTGTTAGTTCTAGCGATTTCCTACAATAAAAATAATGTAATCATTACAAAATTGCATTTTTTTATTTTTTGACGACAATCATAGACATCTAAATTGATTTGATCTAACCTGATTTTTGACACGAAGGCAATCCTTTTGTAATTGAAGATCGTTTAGTAGGTTTCCAGTGGATCTAAGTGCTTCCTCTATTCTTGCATATTGTTCTTTGTGATGTTTTATTTCTTGTAATATTTCTTTTTCTAAACTTTCAATGTGCAATAACCAACCTTCATCACACCCTTCATTTTTCTTTGATAAATTATAAAAAATACAAATGAAATTTAAAAAAAAATAAAACTTTTATATACCTACTTTTTTAAAAATTCTATTATTAAGTACCTGATAGCTATGAATAATCTCTTGTTGCTCGATTAATCGCTGTAGAAGTGCTTCTTTTTCACTTTGCAATTCTTGATTGAACTTCTTTATTATTTGAAATTGGTGTCTCGCATCGAGTTCTTGCTGAAATTCACCGATGTTCTGTTTTTCCATCAGACTGTTTTCCAATTCCAGCTTTTGTTCTATGACCTGTTTACACAAAGCAAAAAGTTCCTTTTGCATTTTTTCAACAAGTGGGACTGGGCTGTCAGTTCCCCAGTTGTTGTCTCGCAGATTTGTCAAGTAATTGACTCTTAAATTCAAAACCTCGGCTTCTTTTTCTAGTATTTTATTTCTAGAAGAGAGTTTGATTTTCTCTTGGAACACATCTTCCAGCTCTTCTTTTCTTAAGCACAATTCCCTCGAAATCTGTTCAATTTTAATGATGTACAAATTTTTAACTTCTGTCAGTTTATCCACTCTCTCGAGCAGTCTATTTTTACTGAAAAGTAGCGAGCGTACTTCACCTTTTAATAAGACAACTTCTTTGATTTTTTCATTGAAATGAGTCAATAACGTTTCCGTCATTCCAGTAGAATCTACTACTCCTGCTTCTTTGTAAGCGATCAAATAATTTTTACACTTTTCTTCATTTGCTAAATTTTCTTCTGCGAGTTTCTTATTATCATCTTCTAAACTTTTGACCTGCTCTTGAAGATTGATAATTTTAAGCTCGCTTACATTTTTCTGGTCAATTGCTTCAAACAGATTCCTTTTGACATCAGAATAATCTTCAATTTTTTTCTGCAACTGTTGCGATTGTACTTCAAAATTGGCCATCTCCTCCTTTAAAATGTTAGCACCGAATTCTGTGTCCTTGAGTTTCAATTCCAGATTCTCTATCTTTTTAATCAATTCCTTATTTTGCTTATCTAGATTTTGACAGTGTTCAATCCATCCAAGAAGGGAAAGATGCAATGGCGATTGATTCTTAACGGGACTTAATAAATTCTGGGAAGGTATGGCAGGATTCATACTTAACAAGTTTGGAGAAAGCATTGCTTCCCCTCCGGCTTGCAAATCTAAAGCATTGGACGGAAAAGGAGTTGAAGTGGCCCCTTGTAACATAAATTTTCCTATTTCAGCATTTTGTTTTTGTAAATTATAATCAAAGGATTCGTTAGTAGGTGTAGAGAGTAAATTTTCTTCTGCTGTTTGATCAGGTTCAACAGCATCTTTTTGTAATTGTGAGGTAGATTTGGTTGGAGTGGCAGATTCTTCTTTTGAAACTGTTTCTTTATCTTTTGAATTCTCCTGCACATCATAAATTATTTTAAAATCTTCTATCTCTTTTTCTAAAAGATCAATCTGCTCCTGATAAATCTGTTTACATTCGTCTATATTACTTCTAAGCATTTCATTTTCTTGGTACAGCTCTTCATTATCTTTATATAGAGCAAAATAACGATTTCCTAATTTTTCAACCTCAGAATAAGTTTTTCTAAATTTTTCTAATAAACGACTCAATAGATCCTCGGTGCATTGATTTGTTTCACTGTCGTTATCCGCACCTGTCAAAGTTGAGCCTGATGTAGAGTTTGTGTCGTCTTTTTTAGATTCAGAGGTTGTCAATGAACAAATAGCCTTGTGTAAAGGTGTAAAAGCATTAACTAAATGAATCATGTCGTTGTTGTGGGAGTTAATTAAAGCTTCGCGAGACTCTGTAACTCTGGTCAGCTGAGCATTATGATCGATGTCAATTTCATGAATTTTCCTTTGAAGATCTTTACAACAATGTTTCTGCTTCTCAAGTTCTAATAGCGTGCAGTTTAATTCTTCCTTCAACTGATCTTGCACTTTTGTACTTAAAATTAATTGATTGTTTAATTTGTTGATTTCTTCTTTATGAAGATTCGTTGCCTTTATATATTTATTTATTTCCAATTTCAATGCAGCCTCATTAGTATGACTTAAAGCGAGTTTTTCATTTAAAATATTTATTTGTTCTGGGTAATTAAAAGTCCTGTTATGCTCTTTAATACTGTTGATATTCTGTTTCAACTCTTCCAATTGCTTTTCATAAATTTGTCGGCTAGCTTTCAGCTCAACGTCATGGTTAACATCTAGTTCATAAAGTTCTTGAATCCTGTCAATCAGCAACTGTATTTGATTTTCATAAAAGGTTTCATTGAGTTTTAAATTCTTCAATTGTACGTTATATTGATCTTTCAAGTTGGCCATTTCTGCATCATAACTTGCCCTAAAATAATGTTCTAATAAGAAGCTGATACTTTTAAAACTTGAATAATTTTTTATGCAAGGAACTTACTTAATTTCTTTTGTAATTTGCTGCTGCCTAAGATCAAAGTCTTTTTCAGCACTGTTCTGAATAAATTCAACATTGTTCTTGTGTTTTTCCAGTGCCTTTTTTAACGAATTGATCTAAAATAGAAGCGTGCATTAAATTTTAAAATTCAAATACCAATCGGTAGATAATCACCTCAAACTGGCAATGTTTCGAGTAATTTTTCTCCTGTGCGAGTTCATTTCTGACCACATTAACCTAAGCATGAATGGCAGAGCAAATCCCTACTTTATAATCGAAAAATTTAAATTTTCAAAAATAGTTAAATAAATAAAACAAAACCTACCTCCTTTTGATATTCTTTCTGGGCACTTTCAAATTCAGAAGTGAGATTCAATACTTTTTTCCGTTCAAACTCTAGAGCTTGTTGGAGGTCGTTAATGAGTAAGTTCTGCTCTGTAATCCTCACCTCCAACTAAAACAACAAACACTATAAATGATGTTTGATAATATAGGACTGAGGGTCATTGGTTGAACTAGCACTGTCACTTGGTTTGTCCACACTTGTGGATTGTAACAAGACAACAGTTCAACATATAAATGATGTTACATTTTTGTATTGTAACATAAGTATGACCAAATAACCTCGGCCTATGTTATTTTTGTATAAAGGACAAAAGATCCAGCGCCAAACTGGTGAGAAGGTAGCGATTGTGCTTAATAAATACCTAGTAGACAATATAGAAACAGAAAGAAACACACACACACACACACACACACACACACACAAAACCTATTCAATGTATAAGGGTAAGATTTAATAAATTCTCCATAAGACTGACTACAGCCTTATGAACTGTGTCAACAAGGTGAGCCTTTATTACACTGGAGCAAAAGGGCTGTCTTGTAGCATAAGTCTACTAAGTCTCTTCTTCACCCTGGCAATATCTGCAAATGCTTTTGCCACTCTGAGTCTATACATGCATACATGTATCTCCTGAGTCTGCAGCATCCCATTAGTCCAACTATTATTCCAGTCCTAACTAACACATCCTCAATTTAGGACTTCTCCCATTTTAGAAAAACATTTTCTTTATCGTGCCAACGTTTCGATCATCTTCAGGGCCTGGGATTTATAAACATTGGTTGAAATTTACAAATACATGTAGGATGTGGAAAAAAAATTATGAATTTAAACAATGCTAAAAAATTTTAGATTTAAAAAAATTGAATTTATACAATGCTAAAAAAATTTACATTAAAAAAAATGAATTTATAAATGCTAGAAAATTTTAGATTTAAAAAAATTAATTTATACAATGCTAGAAAATTTTAGATTCAATCAAAGTATTCGTACTCACTCAAAGTGTTTGTTTTCCGTGTAGATGAGTATTCTTGTGAGTCGTGTTGAGAGTGCCAGTGAGATATTGCTGTTTTATATATATATTGGGTTGTCCGGAAAATAATGCAGGATTTTAAGTTTTCATTAAAAAAAATCTATATAAAATATTCTNTTTGATTAAAGAACATTGCTTTAAAGTAACTAGTTTCTTTTTTTTTGTTTAATACCAAAATCCTGCATTATTTTCCGGACAACCCAATATGTTGGATTTGTATGTGATGTACAATTGATGTTGTATAAATTCATTCTTTTTTTTAATCTAAAATTTTCTACCATTGTATAAATTCATTCTTTTTTAAAATCTAAAATTTTCTAGCATTGTATTAATTCAAATTTTTTTAAATATAAAATTTCCTAGCATTGTATAAATTCATTCTTTTTTTTAAATCTAAAATTTTTTAGCATTGTATAAATTCATTCTTTTTTTAAATCTAAATTTTTTTAGCATTGTATAAATCCATTTTTTCTTTCAATCTAAAATTTTCTAGCATTGTATTAATTCAAATTTTTTTTAAATATAAAATTTCCTAGCATTGTATAAATTCATTCTTTTTTAAATCTAAAATTTTCTAGCATTGTATTAATTCATTCTTTTTTTTTAATCTAAAATTTTCTAGCATTGTATAAATTCATTCTTTTTTTTATCTAAAATTTTCTAACATTGTATAAATTCATTCTTTTTTTAAATTTAAAATTTCCTAGCATTGAATAAATTCATTCTTTTTTTTAATCTAAAATTTTCTAGCATTGTATAAATTCATTCTTTTTTTAAATCTAAATTTCTTTAGCATTGTATAAATCCATTCTTTTTTAATCTAAAATTTTCTAGCATTGTATAAATTCATTCTTGTTTTAAATCTAAAATTTTCTAGCATTGTATAAATTCATAATTTTTTCCAACATACTACATGTATTTGTAAATTTCAAACAATTTTTATAAATCTCAGGCCCTGAAGATGATCTCAATAAAGATCGAAACGTTGGCACAATAAAGAAAATGTTTTCCTAAAACCTACGTCCTACCAGACCGCATCTCACAATCTCTGAATAATCACTGACTAACGGTCACTAAACACATATCAATTTGATAGTCAATAAAGCATTTAAACAGAGAAATATATCTGACTTCAATAACATAAATTTTTTAAGTGTTACATTTCTCTTGGTAAGATCTATACTTGACTACAATTCCCAGATATGGTCACCCCACTATAAAAATTCAATTCATGGAATTGAAAATGTGCAGAATAAATTCCTAAACTGTTCATTTAAAGTCCATTTAACCATAGATGACACAGTTACTATTCCTGTGCTACAGACCAAATTTTCCACGTTATCTCTGGAAGCAAGAAGGAACACCTGACTTAATTTTCCTATTCAAAACTGTGAACAACCAAGTTGACACCGTATTATTAAATAAAATTTATTTAAATGTCCCTGGCAAAAGTACAAGGAATACCAATTTGTTTTATATTCCCTTTCATTATTGTAACTATTCCTATTATGCCCCTATTGAAAGAGCTTGTCGTCTTGCTAACAGTAATGACATTGATTTATTTTGTGTCTCTTTATCACAAATCAAGACATTTATTTGTAAATTATAATTAGCTCGACAATGGGGTTGAGATGGGAAGTTGGTGTCCGAGTGGATCGATGTCATGATAGCTCAAGTGGCAGAGCAGCAGTGTATTTAGCCGAAGGTCGTGGGTTCGAATCCCGCTCGTGACACTGACTTTTTCATACCAATACCTTACAAAAAGATTAATTAATTGAAAAGAATTACAATTAGAACTGTATTGCTTCATGAAAATGGCCAAGTACTGTGTATACAAAAATAAATAAATAAGTAAAAAAAGTACACTTTTATCTGTCTCTCCTGTAAAATTTTCTTTTGTTAAGTTGTGTCACTTTTCTTGTGGGTATGCAATATGAATATGTACAGGGTATGAATAAAATAATAAAAAATATAAGAATGGCATACCTTGCTCGCAATTCCCTGTTGATGATTGGCAGGCATAATGTGCAGATCTTCACATATCTTCAATCACCAAATAAACTACAACAAAAAGAAAGACTGGCCTTGACTTTTTTTTATTATTACGAAAGGCAAAAGTTACAAAATCTAGGTCGAAATTATAATATACCGAACTTACTATTCTTTAGTCTTGTTGTCTGTATCGAAAGCCCTGTGACCTGTCATTCCCAGGGGCTTTCAAATGGTGGAAACGTCAAGAACTGCGAACGTCGTATTGAGGATGAATGAAAATCAATATCATACCTAAAAAGAGCCGAAGATATTAATAATATTTCTCAGTGGAGACCGGATGTAAAAACACTTTTAGTCTGGAACTCTGGAGAGATTTAAAAATAAACTTGAGGTTTCGTCTTGTAACAGTTTATCACTGACAGCCTCCCGCCTAATTCTCTGTGTTTACTCTTTTTGCCATAGCAATCCAGAATAGCCAATTGCTAAACTCTCCACTTACAATTAATTACGTTTCTCTTTCTTCTTTTTTTTACAAATTGGCTGGGAAATTTTGAAACGGGCCTATCCCCCAAGTCCTTTTTCAATCCAAAATATCCTTGTAATAAAATTTATTGTCCTTTTTATAAAACGTTAATTTTCATCCCAGAACATTGAACATTCATATGTTTTATGATCACACAACGAATTTAAAAGAAAACAGAATTTACTACAATTTAAAAACAATTTTACTGTTTTTTTCATCCAGATTTCAAACAAGACAGAATTTTTCTAATACGAGACAAAAAATTTTAACCAATAAGTACTTTATTAAATGAAAAATAAATGAACTATTAATTTTATCTCCTCCTACTTCTCTGACAGAACTCGGATTGTTAAGCTTTAAATTCTATCTCGTCTTCTCTCTCAGGTGTACTCCAAGGCTCTATTCTTGGACCTATACTCTTTCCCATGTTCCTAAATGATCTTCCATTTATTCTTAATTTCACTTAATTTCTTCTATGTGCTGATGACAAACCAAGAGGTCATACTTCTTCCTAGATATATTTCTATTTCTATAAAACCAACACAATACTCTCTTCGGTTCTAGTAAAATCCTATTATGGAATGCATTTTTCACTTCATGGAAAGTATCGGGTGTTATACGAATTAGAATTATCCTAATGTCAGCAATTGTGATGATTCTATGCTTTGGTTTGCGAGTAAAAAAATTTTTTTTTTGGGGGGGGGTTACACTGGCATATTATCCATGATTTTCTATTTTAATTTTACTGTCGAGTGGGATCGGTCGACCAGGACCAGGCCCTCGCCACGCGCCCGCACCCACTCACTCAGCTCAATCATCTTCTGAATTTGAATGGTTGAAGATAATCAAAATGTAACGTTTATCGACTTTAGAAATCTATAGATTATGTTGAATGCTGCTGGATTGTTGCTTATTAGAACAGATTCTAAGTTTATTGGTTTAGGAACGTTTGGAACTTTGCTCAGATTTTTTAGCATTTTATCCCTTTCATTTTTGTATTCTGGGCATTCAAAAATTATGTGAGAAGTATTTGAAGGGCAATCGCAAGTGGGACAGTTTGGAGATGACGCCAAACCGATTCTCTTCTTGTAGCTACCCCGTAGGCCATGATTTGTCTTCAGTCTAAAAATAGTAGAATAGAACTCTTTTGACATTCCTTCTGGGCTATCACCTTCTGAAAACCATGGTTTTTTCTTGAGCTCAGGGAACAGATAATTGCCAGATAATATTGAATAAAGAGAATAATTGCCGACATTTGATGTGTTGTATTTTTCTTGTCACAGATTTCTAAAAAACTTTTTCAAAAAGTTTTTCCCATCATCTTTAGGAATTTTAATGTCAAAGATTGGACCTGATGTTGCAGCCTCCTTTGCAAGGCGTCCACCGTTTTATTTTGCCATAAGCCTGCATGCCCTTTCACCCAACACAATGCCACCCTTTTTCCCATGATTTTTGTCTCTAGTAATTTCTCTGTTGATTCGATGTTTACTCATATTCAGATCCTAAGTAAAAAAATTATGTAAGGACCAGTCCTATTTTTTTAAAAATTATTTCCAAACAAAAGAAATAAAGGGGGGGGGTAGATTGTAAATAATCACCCGGTAAAATTATAAATTATTCTCTCAATAATACCACTAAACAGAGTATCCTGTGTCAAAGTTGGAATTTAAGGAGTATATTTTCAGTATTAATTAAAAACCTCCTAAAATTCTGAGTTTTTTATAAGAAACACTCATAATCCCAATTCATCATTGACATTGTACAAAACTCTCATTCATCTTATTCTTGAATTTTCTTCTGTTGTATGGAATCCACACTTCTCTTCTCATTCTGAAGATAAAGTTTGAATTTATTAGAATCATTCATTTTTTTTATTTTCTCTTCTTTCATTTGCAGAAATGTCTTTTTCTCTTTATATATCCCAGCACTAGCTGATACAAGGCGTTTTTTTATCTATTATTTCTTTACAATATAATATATATAATACTAAATTGTTCTGGCCTCATTTCATGTATCACGTCCAAAATACAGGCATTTATCTTTGTTTAGTGTACCCTTTTGTAAAACAAATTACATCCTTTATTCACCAATAAATAGAATAATGAGAGAAGGAAATAAGATATTAAAATATTGATGTTTTCCATCTAAATTTTAATACATTTAAACGAAAATTAAAGGCAACAATTTTATAGATTGTTTTGAAAGAAATATAGTTATATTATATAAAATTTAATTAATCTATTATATAAAATATTATGTATATACTATTATATAAAATATACAAATATATTTTATTGTTTATTATTATTAATGCTTGTTGTTGTTTTAGTATTGTTATTTTATAAATTTTGTTTATCTACTTCATAATTTTTTTTTTTTAAGCCTTTGATATATATTTTTTGTAAAAGGATCTTCAACTTATATACAGGGTGTATCAACTTCTATAGTCCACCCATTTAAATCAGAAATGATTAAATTTAGCAAAAAATGGTCTTATACAAACCCTAAGTTAATATGGGAGTAAGATATGTCCAAATGTTTTTTTTTCATGTAAATTTTAATACATTTAAACGTTAATTAAAGGCAATAATTTTATTGATTGTTTTAAAATAAATATAGTCCCCCCCCCCCCGAGAATCCAATCCGATTACACGACATTTGAAAAATGGCAAAAAGGAGGAAAACTTCAAAAGGTGGGGTTGAGATGGGAAGTTAGTGTCCGAGTGGATCGAGGTCATGATAGCTCAAGTGGTAGAGCAGCAGTGTATTTAGCCAAAGATCGTGGGTTCGAATCCCTCTCGGGCCATTGACTTTTTTATCTCAACTAAAAACCTTAATTAATTGTAATATAAGCAATAAAGTATATTTATAAATTTAAATAATTTTTAAATATGGGCAAAGTAACACGAGTAGATGTACATCCTGTATAAAAACAAAATCATTTTATTCGAAGTATTTACCTTCATTTACATTTTTCCCTATATATTTTCTATACATTTTTCCCAAGTTTGACCAACTTTTTTCTGCCGGAACTGAAGAATTCTGAGCTTTGAAATGAAACAAAATCTGAAAACGCTTTTTGACTTGAGCATCTTTTTTCAAGCACATTTTTCCTTTGACGAAGTTGTCCAAATTCCTAAAGGTGAAAATCTGTTCGAGACAAGTCTGGAGAATAAGGTGGATGCTTAATAACTTCATAGCCAAGCTCTTTCCGTTTATAGTATGTTTAGAAACATAAACACAAAAATCATATAAACTGGCGTTGCAGTAGAGGATTATGGGACCTTTCCGATTTACCAGTCCAAGTTGTTTTTTTGAGTAATTTTTTGTGCATTTCGTCAATTACCTTGCAGTATGGTGTAGAGGTAATGGTCTCATCTCTAGGCGAAAGGAGTGGTGAATAATTCCCGCCATTGATTACCGTCAATGTTTTTGGGTGTAAATTTGGTTTTGGGGTATGTCCTGGTCTTTTGTCAATGCTTAACTACTGCCCTGACCGAAGCTGATTGTCATAATATGATATGACTCCATTTTGAATGTACAATCTACTGGAAAAGTTTGTAACATGAGTTGCCAAACACCCTGTAGGAAGTAAAAATAAATAAATATAAAAATTAAAAAAAAATACTAATTCACATATCCTCTGGGTTTTATCCAAATTTAACGTTATTACAAAATTAAATCATGAAAACCTCTCCTTGTTATGCCGAAAAAAATTGAGAATTGAGATGAAGTAATTTTTATCCACGATCAAGAATCTGTCCAACAAAAATAAATTGGTTTGAAATGAAATTTGGTTGTTATCGATAATTAATTAAGGTTTTTAGTTGAGATAAAAAAGTCAACGGCACGAGCGGGATTTGAACCCACGATCTTTGGCTAAATACACCGCTGCTCTACCACTTGAGCTATCGTGACCTCGATCCACTCGGACACCAACTTCCCATCTCAACCCCACCTTTTGAATTTGAATTGAGATGGGAAGTTGGTGTCCGAGTGGATAGCAGCGGCGTATCTAGCCGAAGATCGTGGGTTTGAATCCCGCTCGTGCCATTGACTTTTTTATTTCAACTAAAAACCTTAATTACTCATGATTTATATTCTTTGTAAAAGGATCTTTGATCTGTATGTACAAATAATTAAATATTAACATCTTCAGCAATCTTAAAAAATTGTGATTGTAGGAATATCGAAAACTATCGCACTATTGTTAAGTGCTCTACAATACCTAAGATTATGGATTCCACAGTGGCGACATATTGAGCCTTTCATTCAACATGTTATTCTTCAGCAACATGGTTTCATGAAAGGACGCTCCAGTATAACCAACTTAGTTCTTTCCAAATATTTTAATGCTAAATCATTTGGAAAACGGTCATTATGTTGTCTGTTTTATGTATTTAAAATAGTAGAGCAAGTATGTTGTAGTACTCTGATAACATTGGGGCTAAATCAGAATTCACGAATACTCTGGATTACGGCATGGTCTTGAAAGAACAAATTCAGTTGTTACTACAAGCTTTCGACCTATTTTAACATCATCATCAGGGCAAAACAATCTTAAATATGTCCTCAAATTGACATAAGTTTTTCACAGACCTTTTCAAATTTCTTTCAAGACCAACTCAGTTTCAAACATTGTCAAGACAGTGGCACAGTAATAATCTATATTACTTTATTATTATTTACTTGACATTTTAGAAGAAGGTATGAGAAGAAGGATTTTTGTGTGCACTTTCTATTTGAAAGAGATTTTATCACTTGTTCTCAATATCCTGGAGTAAAATCATAAATTATGTTGAAAAAAAGTATTAGAAGAAAAAAGAATTGTGAGATAAATCTGAAATTTGGTCATTACCAATTGTTTTGGTCTATTCAATTCTTTGATTCTTTTAGTGTGAAGATCGCAACATGCCAAAACACATTGAACAGACTAACCCAGCAATTTTGGAAAACCAAAATGATCAAATTTCAGACATATTTATCGTATTTACTGCAGTAAAAAATTGGAACAGAACTTTTTTGAATTTCAGTCTGCTTAATTTTTACTTTACAGTAGCATGTAAAAAATATAAATGTATAAAAATAAAAGTTGTATAAGTTTTTCCTTGAGCTTTTAAAATCATTAAAGTATTACACATCACTATGAGTCACAGTGAATGGTACTTTTTAAAATAAAGCTCCAAGTATATGACAACTCTTAAACTTAATTTGTTCCACAAAATAACTTAAAACAACAAACTAAATCCATATTTTCATGTTTACATATGTTTATATTGTGTCAACTAAAAGTAGTGGCGTTCAATAGGTAGTTATACAAAATATGATCCGGTTTAACTGCGTTTAATTGCTATGCACAACATTTCCGATGTGTTATGACGATTTACCTTGTGTGGTGAGTATTTACACAACAAAATAAACATGTGTTGCACCATCTGATGGCAAAAACATTTTATGCAACATTTTTTTCTTTCATAATAATAAACATGTACAGTATAAAATAATTGCAACTGTTAGCCGGTCACCGAGTCACTTCAAACCCACTCAGTCCAAAGAAAAACAGATAAAACAGTATATGAGAGTTTGCGAGAGAGAAAGAGAGAGAGAGAGAGAGANGAGAGAGAGAGAGAGAGAGAGAGAGAGAGAGAGAGAGAGAGAGAGAGAGAGAGAGGGAGAGGACAGGGGAGAGAGTAATGTAAATAAAAAATATAGGCTAAGAGAAAAAAGTGAAAAACAAGGGAGAAAGAGCAATGCAAATAAAAAGAGATGTAGAAAGAAAACAAAACAAAAAATAAGGGCTAGTGCGAGAGAGAGAAAGAGAGAGAGAGATACAGTATAGCCTGAGAAAAAGAGGAAAAAAGAGAAAACAGATTATGAGTGAATGCGAGTGAGACTGAACTGAAAAAAGAGAGTGATTTAAAAAAATGATAATTGTGAAATACATAATTCTCATTATTACATATAGAAAAGACAACAAAACCAACTAGTTGCTACTACATAGGAATAATTATTGTTAATGAAAGATAAAAAAAAGTTTTTATAAACTTTAAATTCAATATAATATCATCCTGTAATATTATTTTATATTAAAAATCAGGAAAAGCAGTTCATCCTTTTACTTTTCGCTTTCAGAGTTTTCAGCAGTTTAAGCGTTTTTTATAAAGTAGTATCTAGCTTTCGCATGTAACGCAAGAAAATAAACAAAATCAGAACAATTTATAAAGAACCTCAATTCTTGGATTCTTACTTTCGTTTGGACCGCAAAAAGGAACCCTCATAAAAAACATAGAAAAGTCGAAAGGAGATTCTATAAATTCAATTTTTTTTTTAAAGTTTTAAGACAAACAAACAACCTGGACCATCACAAACCCTCTCTTTCTTAGATTTTCTTTTCTTTTCTTATCTTTCTAGGGTTTTAAACCTATTAATTTCTTTTACTTTTTCTCCAGGCAAGTCGTGATGTTTTATGTTATGACATAACCAATTCTCTTTTTTTATTCTATTGCTAGCCTCTCTGTACCTCAGGGAATCGTCAATTCAGGATAAAATAAAATAAATAACAAACGCAAATACACAGAGACAAAATAAAAATCTGATAGTCTGGCATTCACACTACCCAGTCATATCAATCATTGAGGTATTGGTGTTTTTGAAAAAAAAAAGCCCATTTATAAGTATGTCGGGTTCAAATCCAGCAGCCCTGCATTATTTTATATCAATGAGAGCTGTGTCAATGCCTGAACCATTGTGGCTACTGATGTCCCCACAAAGTTTCATAGTTAACAAAGGAACTGAGAGTTTTCTTTCAAACTGGCCTTATACCTGATTTTTAATATAAAATTATAAACGTTAGCTACTCACAATGATGTAATAAAATTGCAATTATCAATATATGTTTTAACACAAATTAAACAAATTTCATATTATTAATATTTTATCTTTAAAATATCTTAAAAATATATAAGAATATTTTATTTTTTAGGTTCATTTTACATGGCATAGTTCCGATTCATTCAAATCCATTTACATACAAACAGTTTCAACCCTTTCAATATTCTAGCTATGGAGGGTATCCAAAACAATCCAAAATTATCTACAACAATAATTATATGCCGTTAACAAACTTAAACCCATATAAGGTCGGTCAAACATATTCTCAAAACATTTCACCTAACAACAAAGAGAAATTGAGAAAAAGTGATAACGACAGAAAACCTATTGTTACAAACAACAAAAGCACAAGAGTGAATATTTCTCTTTTCCTACCTCCAAAAACCCATCTTAAAAAGTCAAAAGAGTTTTACAAGAATCTTCACAAATTGTTTTCCAAATATGTGAAAGCTGAAGATACAGGAAATAATCCAAATGGTCAGATTAGAAATGGTGATTTTCAACAAAGTTTTCCTTCAGAGATATATTTAAAAAGGAACGGAGATTGGGCTCCGTCAAACGACAACTCGTACGCTTGTAATGGTACACTCTCCCTTCATTATGAACATGATATTGATCCAACTTTTAGAGAAAATAGTATGAATAACAGAATCAGACTAAAGAAAAGAAACCGTAATGAAAAGAATGGACCACTTTCTTGGAATGATTATATAGAAATGTCAACTATTAATATTGATCTTGTATATGATCAAACTGAACCTCCAATTTCAGCATTTTATAAATATGAAAAAGACGATGATTCAATTCCTCCAAAGATCAAGACAGATCCGATTATGTGGATATCAAAGTTGCCTCAAATTAACCAAAATTTAAACAAGGAGACTAGTAAAATTCAACTGTGTGAATCAAAAAGTGATTGTGAAAAAAGCTATAAAGTAAAATGCATTTGCTCCTTATTTGACATGATTAATAAAATCAATACAATAATAATTAATAGCAACAATCAAAAAGAACTGTTGGAAAGAATAAGCAATTTGTCCTGCCACAACTACATACCTATAACGGTAGAATATAAAATCCCTACGGCAATGAATCCTCGGTTGATTTATACAAAAAGAAAAGAATTGGTCGTAGATGCGGAAACTGGTCCTAAAGAAATTTCCGATTCGACGATAAAACAATTACTAAAAAGATCAATCCCGAATGAAGGTAAGTTATATTTTTTAAAAAAGAAATATCTCATTATTGATTTATTTTGTTTAGGAGTTGACTTTTATGCATTTGCAAGTTCCAATATTGAGATACCGTGTTTTTCAAGTGATGAAATGCTGCTATCAATAAATTCACCAGATTCTGTTCAATATTTGTGGGCTCATGGAGATAATAAACTTATTACAGGTGAGTCGTTAGTTCAATTTAATTATTAAATGTTATAAATATAAACAGTTAATTAAGGTTTTTAGTTGAGATGAAAAAAAGTTAATGGCACGAGTGGGATTCGAACCCACAATCTTTGGCTAGATACGCTGAGTGGATCGAGGTCACGATAGCTCAAGTGGTAGAGCAGCGGCGTATCTAGCCGAAGATCGTGGGTTCGAATCCCGCTCATGCCATTAACTTTTTTTCATCTCAACAAAAAACCTTAATTAATTGTAATGTATTAATTGGTCAAGCGGACCACGAAATTAGTGAATTTAATAAACAGTTATATTTATATTATGAAGAAGTATATTTTTTCTCGGGTTGTATTGACATCTTTGACTTTTATGTAATCCACAATTTTAAAAAATCATACAGAGAGAGAAAATTATTGCCATTGTGTTGTATGGGAAAATATGTCTTACTCCTAGAGGGAAAAGCCTGGCCTGAAGGATACACATGAAAGACTTGGAAAAGCTTTCGGAACTTGTAAATAGCCTTAAGATTAATGAGAAACTCTAGACAAAAATGGTAGTGCACTAAAGAACAATAAATTTTGTGCTATATTCAACAATAAAGTGATTAATAATCAACAGAGGTGGGATGCAAAACTATTTAAAAGGGTTGAAATTATGCTAAACCTGCACTTATCACCAGTTGTGCAAAACTGTTGGTTTTTCTAAGAAACTTTCTGACCTTGCTTAAAAATCAGCCAAGGAAAGTTCGACGAGGATGGATTCATCAGAAAATGGATATAAATGTGATGTAGCTCAGGACAGTCATGCGGAAAAGTTCATCAAATTTTTGCATTAGTATTGCAGAAACTAACAGCAGAACTACTAAATCTGAGTTAGGACTTGAGTAATAGTTTGAAATGCTAACTGGGGACTGCAGACTCCAGAGGCATATGTATAGACTCAGAGTGGCAGAAAAAAGTCTAAGCAGATATTGTCAGGAAAAAGAAGGGACAGCATAACATGTCTTCTGTTGGTACAAAGGCTTATAAACTCAGATTCTTACTTCTGGAGAGGAAAAGCCCGGGCCTGAAGGATACACACAAGATCTTAGAAAAGCTTTGGGATTTTGTAAAAAATCTTAAGCTTAATGAGGAGTTCTAGGCAAAAATGGTGATGACTATAGACTGGTCACAGTGCGCAGGTCATGCCGATTCTTTCTCTAATCCAATGGAACATCCCTTATTCCAATTATTCCTAAATATTTTATTTTAAAAGCTTTCCCCCTTGTACCGACTTCCCAAGATAAGACTTTACCAACACCCTTCACTCCCACCATTGTTAAATCCCTCCTAGACCTCCCACCAGGGTATATAATAGGACTGATTGTAATATTTGACGAGTCTGTTTCCCGTAAGCCTGTAGCTATTAATTTTTTAATACAGAAGTTAATTTTTCCTCTGCCCGTTTAAGTCTACTTTTACCCCAGTCTCCACCCCATAATCCTGACGTTGGTTATCATACTAATTTAATATTTTAACTTGGCCAATCTGCAAGTCTATTCACTCCAGTTTTGTCTGTCTTTAGTGGTTAGTCTTTGCTTTATTTTGCAGTAGTGATCTTTTTAAATTTTACTTTATTCAATTATAATGTGCTTAATATTCAACAGAGTTGGGTTGCAAAATTTCTAAAAGGGTGTCGAAATTATACTAAACCTGCAATTATCACGAGTTGTGCAAAACTGTTGGTTTTTATATGAAAATTTCTGACCTTGCTAAAGCATTTTGTTCAAATAAATTATTTAATATTATAAACATAAACGGTTATAATTGTATTAAGAAGAAGTATATTTTAACATGTCTTTTGTGTTAAATGGTGTTGTAATTGACATATTCAACTAACATGGAATCCACAACTAAATTAAATCAAACCGAGTGTGAAATTTAATGCCATTGGTAAATGTAAACTCTCTTTCTGGGTGAAAACATCCCTTTGGCTATACACAGCGATTCTGAGACCCATGATAGACTGAAGATCGGTGGTTTGTTGGACCACCACAGCTAATGGCAGTCAAGATTCCCAGTACTTGATTATTTGGAGATCGTGAGGTGCTGTCTGGTGTGACGTAGGTTTTAGAAAAACATTTTCTTTATCATGCCAACGTTTCAATCTTTATTGAGATTATCTTCAGAGCCTGGGATTTATAAACATTGTTTAAATTTTACAAATACATGTAGGATGTGAAAAAAATGGATTTATACAATGCAAAAAATTTTTAGATTCAATCAAAGTATTTCTACTCACTCAAAGTGTTTGTTCTCCAGATTGAAGTATTTTATTTGAGTTTTTGATTGAATATTTTTTTTTTTCCAAATGGTAGATCAGGGATGAGGCCAGGAAGACAGAAACAACATTAATTTTCTTGTCGAGCTTTCAGCAGAATATATCGCCTTCATCAGGACTTCGAAAAAAATCGTTATACTATATGAACAGGTACATGTGTGGATAACGGAGGTTTTACCGGCTATCCGTTATCCACACATGTACCTGTTCATATAGTATAACGATTTTTTTCGAAGTCCTGATAAAGGCGATATATTGTGCTGAAAGCTCGACAAGAAAATAAATGTTGTTTTTGTCTTCCTGGCCTCATCCCCTATCTAGCTTTTGGAAAGAAAACAATATATTTAAACTGAGAAGGTTGATCAATCACCAAAGAAAATTTTGATTGAATCTAAAATTTTCTAGCAATTTATCATGTGCACACGCTGGTCGGTCGCAATAAAATTTGGTTAAATAAAATAAAAATACAAAATAAAATAAAGTACAAAATAAATTAAAATACTAACTTGTTAACTGTGGCTGGATTTTCTCGACAACCAGGGAGGAGAGCCGTTTAATAGCTAGAACCTGCAATAACTCTGGCCAAAGATAAAACAGAATCCTAGTCTATTAATTACCTTAGGGGCTCCGTCCGAACCCTGTATGATGTGTCGCATTAAGGATGCGGGAGGAGACACTCGCGTTATTTTGAACGTGAAATTAACAAAACGAAAGAAAAAAATGCTTCTTGAAAATAAGAGAAAAACTGAAATAAAACTAAAAGAAAATCACTCTTGGAGGCTAATTAACAGTGGACTGTATGGAAGCGAGACGGAAGCAAACAGGAATAGAGCAGGACTAGGCAGCAACAGGATAGGATTGTGGGGAGGGAACAGAGCTAGGATAAATTCTAGATTAGCGGCATTTCGGAAACAAAATAAACAATTATAATTTGCGATTTTTGGCACGAACATATCAATTCATTCTTTTTTAAATCTAAAATTTTCTAGCATTGTACAAATTCATTTTTTACACATCCTACATGTATTTGTAAACTTTAAACAATGTTTATAAATCCCAAGTTCTGAAGATGATCTCAATAAAGATCAAAACATTAGCATGATAAAGAAAATATTTTTCTAAACCTACGTCATACCAGACCACACCTCACAATCTCAAAATAATCATTGGCTATCGGTCACTAAACACCACACATTCTCAGTACTGCTCATAGACAAGCAGTGTTCAGGCAATGCGAATGACCTGCAATTCTGGAAGTCCTTCTGAATCTACCACCATTAAAATTCTTTGCCCAGGTATGCAGGGACAGGCTCCAATAAATAGCCTCCTTACACAACAAGAATAGGAAAAGCATTGGGGGAAGCTGCAGGCAGGATTTCAGGATGCGCCTATTGGTGCCTAAATTCAGATTTGACAAAAATAATAATAATAATTTTCTGGCGGAGCAGACTGAGAGAACAGGATCCCAATGCATATCTGGATATGGGTCAAGAGCTTATGTTTAGGAAAATAAACCAAGTACTACGATTCATAAAAGCTTTTCAAACTGTGCCAATGAGATTAAAAGGTATTGTGAACAGAAGAATAGGACAGCCAGACCGCACTGAGGACAATTATCAGTAGTAAAGACCAGAGTTGTTTAGAATTGCATCAGGATCCTGTCAGACATTGCAAAAAAACAACAAAATTACCCTAACCAGGGCAGAGGGGCAAAAAAGAGGCTGATAAATTGGCCAAAGAAAGTTCGATGAGGACATCTACTGAACCCTTTTGTTTGACATACCAAACTGTCAAAAACTTGGATCCATCAGACAATGTATTAAAAATATGCCCACCATTCAACCATTCAAAAGGTACATAATACTTTTATTTGTATTTTAGTACGTATAAATCACAATTAGGAATATTATTTATTATAAACTGATTAAGAGTTTTATTGTGTTTTATCTGATTAAGTTTGTTTGAAAATAAATATTTAATGGGGAACTGAGATGGCTGAATGGCTATGATACCTGACTCATATTTGCCATGCTAGCATTCCTGGGTTTGAACCCCAGAATAGTCAATGGAGTTTTAATTAGGAAAATAATATTGCAAATTGATTTGACCCCTCGCCCACCAGCAGTTGCAGTTACTTAAAAGGGGTTGAAATTATGCTAAACCTGCAATTATCACGAGTTGTGCAAAACTGTTGGTTTTTCTATGAAAATTTCTGACCTTTGGAAAGCAGTTAGGAATTGTTATTTCAGTAAAAAGTAAAACAAAGTACAGTAAAAATTAGATTAAAAATAAGAACATCCAAGGGACCGTCTGAACTTGGTTCTTAAACCCGAGATTTGCTATATCTGGTAATCAATTTTTTTCTGTTTAATTATTGATCAATTTTTTGAAAGTTGGAGGCTCTGGAACTACTTTTAAGGGGTTGAAATAAGCAATCCCATTTAGTAACAAGTTTGGAACTAAAAAGCGTTTGTGAATTTCAAGCCCTGTTTAATTATCCTTGTTTAGGTTTTAAGATAAAAAACAAAAAGATTAATCACAAAAATTTTATTTACTGCAAAACTGAAAAATAGTCTGTAATATTGGTTTCTTTATTTTTTTTTTTTTTATGAATGTAAAAAGCATTTTCTGTAATGGTGACAAGTTCTTTCACAGTCAATTTTCATAGATTCCTCTGCAAAATTGTCATTACATGTTAAAAATTTATTTACCACATTTATAGCTGAGAACATTTCCTTCAAAGTGGGGCACGAAAATTCGTTTGAATCATCTGTTATGGCATTGTCTTCTTGTAAATCATTTTCTTCTGCTTTGACCCCTGCAACAATTTCTTCATCTGTGATGATTTCATGGGTAGTAAGACTCAAGTCTATGTCTTCATATCCTTGAAGCAAACTGTTTTCAATGGGCAACTCTTGAGCCCAGTTTTGAAGTGTTTCATCCTGAAAGTCTTGGATTTGAAGAATATCAACAGCATTGTCAACCAAATCACTGAGGAAGCCAGCATGCCAGAAGCAGTTTCCAAAAACAATGGAATTTCTTTGCCGAAATCTCTGGATCCATGAGGTTGAACATACAAAATCATTTTTATTAAAAAGTTTTGCAAAATCATTTGCTTTTGCTTGCAAAATAGGTCTATTCAAGGAATGTTTGCACAACTTTGAACCTTGAACCACTGCAACAATGCTTCTTTGAATTCTTCTTTTAATTTTTGACGGTTCTTAAAAATGTTTGAAATGATGAAATGACTCACCTTTAGTTCATTCGCCAAAGCTCCATTTTTTCTCCATTTTCCAAAGAAGAAATTATATGGATTTTTTCCTCCACCGTAAAGGTTTTTCATTTTTTTTCGTTCATTGCACCGTCCTGTTTGAACAACTGCAGAGGACTAAGAAAGAATGTGTAGCCAGTAGATAATGAAAAACACGACGCAATCATTCCATGAAAATAATTGATTACATTTTGTAGAATATTTTGTCTGAATTCCTCTTTCGAGGGATGTATTTTCTCACGAAGTTCTTACAAAAGGTTTGTTTTCTCAGAAATACTTTAACTTTAGGTCACTAAAAGCGATATGTTCTTACTAACGATGTACTTAAGTACATTAAGTTGCATTAAAGCTAGCCGGGAACTAGAAATTTCATTTTTATAATCGATATGTTTTTACAACCGGTGTTCATTTAAACAATTTTTACTGTAACTCTTGTTCTATAGGAAGGTTTAACGTCCAACTACACAATGAATGTTGTGGATGAGGAGTTAAACCACTTTGGGGTACATTTTTCAATTTTTCATACTATCATCAGTTAAAAAGTCATGGGCTATGCTTTATGCTTTTATGGATTCAAACCCAGAACCATGGCAAATGAGTTGACTGCCCTAACCACTTAATAACTGCATTTAAAAAGTAATAATAATAATGACAATTAAAAGGTTTTTAGTTGAGATGAAAAAAAGCTAATGATATGAGAGGGATTTGAACCCACGACCTTCGGCTAGATACGCTGCTGCTCTACCACCTGAGCTATTGTGACCTCAATCCACTCGGACATCAACTCCCCATCTCAACCCCACCTTATGAGTTTTCCCTCCTTTTGCCATTTTTTTATTCAGGTGGTAGAGCAGCGGCGTATCTAGCCGAAGGTTGTGGGTTCGAATCCCTCTCGTGCCATTAGCTTTTTTTCATCTCAACTAAAAACCTTAATTAATTGTCATGTATTAATTGGTCAAGCGGACCACGAAAGTAGTGAATTAATAATAATAATACAATTTTTAAATATAAATTTTGGTTGTAGAGGGAAGAATAATACCAGATGCAGACCGTAGAGGAACGTTAAAGATTATTGGCATTACAATGGCAGATTCAGATAATTACACTTGCACAGTGAATTTTAAAGATCCTGATACTCAATTATTGACCACGCTCTCATTCATTCACAAGGTAATGGGTAAGTTTTATTTTTACATTTTTTATTACATTTGTGTATTTCAATTTTTCATAAAATAAGACAAAAGCTTGTATTTTAGTAGGATGAAATTTAATTGATTTTAGTCGTTTCACCACCAAACATTGCTCTTCACACGTCGATTCACTACGGCGTGTCATCCAAGGCAAAATGTGACCGAGAAGTTTTGGAAATGTTCGAGCTTTATCTTTCACAGCAGGTCGAAGATATAATATGCAAGAGTAGGAAATCGGACAAGATTCATATTTGCGAGGTTGAAATTTACAATCCCATGTGTAGGCGTAACGATTATGAAGTAAGTGAAGTTGATGATTAGAAAAGAAAAAAATAACCGCAATAAATTTCTCTTTTTTCTAAAGGAAAATGATGTAAATTCAAAATTGCTGTGGACCTTAGGGAAAAAAACAAACAACAGCCAAAAGGACCAATCCTATTTTAGTATGGTAAGATAATAGACTAGGTGAAGCTATTGATTGATCAGCTCTGGTCGCCTATTCTTTATACCACCCACGGAAGATGGAAAATGCTGAATACCAGGATGACCAAAATGATCAAATACAATAAAGTTATCAATTACTCAAAAATACTAGTTGAACTAAATTTATCTTTCTGTTATTACATCATTGCTATTAATACATTTATTTTAGCTTTTTCAAAGAAATAAACGATACAGTTCTTATTTGCCCGTAGAAAAATTGTTAGAAGGTGATGAGCTAGTAAGTTTTGATGCATGTCTTTTTATAACTTTCATTTATTTCTTACAATGGTATTTGGTAAGATGAAAAATACTGCTGTGTTGTCGTTGAGTTATCAAGTTTTGATGAAGGACATTTGGGGATTTATTACTGCGATTAATAACAGGTCGCATTGTTCACCGTTCTGCCAACAGAAGATCACACTGATTTTAATTAAAATCATCAAAAGGTCAATTCTATCCGGGCTCTCTTATCCAGGTAGCTTAGTTTCATTTTGACAAGTTTGTACTTGCTAAAATTGTATATTTCCAGTCAACTTTTCCAAAGCGACAATTTACATACCAGATCTTTCGTCAATAAACACAAAAGTTATAATCGCATGTGAAGGTGGTCTTCATTTATCTGAAGGTTTTTGCGGTAATTCGGACAATTGATTTTATTGATTTGTTGAAGATTCTTACAATTTGTTTTACAGTTCCTTGTCCAAAAGGGCATTTCAGCGAAGAAGGAAGCACGGAATGTAAGAAATGCCCTTGGGGAACGTACCAGGACAAAATCGCTTCAATTAAATGTGAGGCTTGCAGCCACCCTTTAAAAGAAGGATGTTATGAAATGGTAAATAAAAAAATTAATAAAAAATAAACTCATTAATATATTTCTCTTTCCTAGATGTTTGCATTTAGTTTTTACACAATATTAGTAAGTGCGAGCATTTTCTTAATTTTGTTTACATGCTGCTATTACTTTTGTTGCTGTCGAACTTCTAAAACGAGTGAGTGTGAAATATTTTTAATTACTTTACAATTACTAAATTGTTTATTTTAACAATTGAGAAGAAATGACAGAGTACACGCCAGTTAAACTGATTTGTGAAGAATGCCCAAGGGTTAGAAACAAAAAAGTACTACGAGTAAGTTTGAAATGTTTGTTCAATAAATCACATCATATTTATGTATAAAAATTTTTTTTTAAGGAAAATAGATCAAAGAAAAATCTATTGTCGTCAGAAATTGAAAAAGACGGATGTAAAAATTCATTCAGAGTAAAAGGATTTAACCATTTCCCTCAACAAAGACGTAAGAAAGAAAATGTAATTTAAAAAATAAATAAATAAAATAAATGTAAGATTTAATTTTGTAGGCCTGTGACTTAATTTGTCAGACAAGTTTACAAATCAACAAGTTGGCAGTATCTCTCACAAAGTCGGGAGGTATTAAAGTGTCAGAATGGAAGAGGGTTTTGTAAATAATAAAGTATAAATAGTATTAACATTATTTTCTGTTTGCACTATAGCAATATTTATTTAACATTAATGAAAATTAATTAATGTATGAAATTCTGGTAATATAACGTTTGGCCTGAAAATTGAAACAAATGTCTAGAATTAGCAGAAATGCTTTAAAACATTTAAAATCGGTTTTAAAAATGGCAAAGGTATAGCGAAACCATCAGTGGCCGTGTGGTAAAGGCGTCTAATTCATATTTGTGTACTAGTGGCTTTAGGTTCAAATCCTGATATGCCATGGAATTTACTTGAAAATAACTAGAAAAAAGTATTGTAAATTGGTTTGACCCTTTTCCAAAATTCAGCGTATGAGAGTAATTAATTTGATTTTTTTTAGGCCTGCAAAGCCAAGGGCGGATCCAGGTTGGGCATCAGGGGGGTGTAAATTTTTTTTTTTAATTCTGAAAATTTTTTGAAAATTTGAAAATTGACAATTCTGCATATTGTTTTACGTACAAATGCAATACTTTCACCTCCTTCAAAGGAAAATTTTTTAAAACAAATCTCTTAATTTAAATGTATGAATTGTTTAATTTCAAAAAGGCGCATAATTTTCATAAGTTTCCCAAATGTTTTTCCATCATAGTCTGCAATGTAAATGATTTTAATTACCAGCGTTAACGAATATAAAAAATTTATCGCCAACTTAGGAGTTATCACATGAAGAGATCAAATAAGAAGATTAGAGACTGAAATCAGAAAAGCACCAGCAGGACATGTCTAATCACGAAAAAAATCATGGTCTGCAATGTAATTTTTTAAGACAAAAAGACAAAACATAAACAAAAAACAAAAAAAATCCTCACAGCAGTAAGGAGTGAGAGGTAGACTTCTTTCTTTTACGGAATCAATCCAGCGCAGCTAAAAATTTGCTACTTTAAAAATTATATTATAATTTGAAAACAATGGATATTATTATTTATTTTATACAAAATGTAACATCATAGACATATTGCTACATGATAAAAAAATTAGTCAAATGTTTTTGTTTATTATTAACATCAGGCATTAAATTAAATTAGATTCGGGTCATTTTTTCCTAGACCATTGAATATAATGAAAATAAAATAATGGCTTACTAGTTAACTACCTAATTTGAAATTTTATTTAAGCTATTTAATTAATTTCCCGTGTTACTTCACTATTACTTTTTGGTAACAAAGTGAGAAAAAAGACTTGTGATGTCCATATTTTTTAATAATATTCACAACTTTAAGGACTTTTGCTTTTTACTATGATTTCTCTGTTAATTTTAAAAAAAAATTGGCATGTTTGGTAAAAAAAAATTAAGAAATGCCTACGGTTTCATTTTATTATAAAAAAGAAATTAATTTGAGCTTTTAAATGAAAGTAATTGGGTTTGAAAGTACCATATTTAAGGGGAAAAAATCCTGATTAAAAATGGGATTTTTTCAAATTATAACTTTTAAAATACTGCTTGGATTTGTGTCAAACTGGGTTTAAAAGTTACAGGAAAAATCCAGCTTAAAAACAGTACCAAAAATGTGAAAATGCAATAATGAGGGGTGGAGCTAGGAGGGAGTGAAATTAAACAAATCGAGCTGTTGTGTGGGTGAAAATGTAAAATTGGATAAAAAGTAAAATTTTGATTGAATTTTTTATTTTAATCGCCTAGAACCCTGCGACCTCCAGTCGATTTGGCCGAAAAACAATCACAACTGTCCTTATAGGATTCTTTACTACCCTGCCAAATTTCATGGGTATGTGATCAAAAATGCAAACGTTAGAAAGCACTAGATTTTTGAAAGAAATCTACCTAAAATTAAACATGAACATACAGGTTTCATGATATCAAATCGAGCAATCAAATTATCGAACCGGGAGACAAAAAAACCAAAGCGTGACAAGTTAAGAGGAAACTGATTTAATTTTGGAAAGGTTTATCAGAGGTAACAGATCAAGGTTTATATAATCTTAAATATAAGCCTCTTTGCTTAATTTAGGCTAAACTAAGACATATTACATATAACATCTTCATTGGTTCCATTGTGTAAAGCAAAGGTTCAGGGAAAACATCCATGGTTAATAGAGGAACTCCATGATGTATTTTTGAGACTGATCCTAGAAAAAACATTCAAATGTCAAATGTGATTTCCCGCCTGCAGTTCACAGTATGCTGAATGTTACCAAAAAAAACAAAAAAACATGCAGATGCTTCTTCAAAATTTTGAACTCTATTCTGAACATCTATGACATATGAATGTTTTGGAGAATAAAAAATAGTTACAATTAATTAAGGTTTTTACTTGAGATGAAAAAAAGTTAATGGCACAAGTGGGATACGAACCCACGATCTTTGGCTAGATACGCCGCTGCTCTACCACTTGAGCTATCGTGATCTCGATCCACTCGGATATCGACTTCCTATCTCAACCCCACCTTATGAGTTTTCCCTCCTTTTTGCCATTTTTCAATCCCGCTCGTGACATTAACTTTTTTTCATCTCAACTAAAAACCTTAATTAATTGTAATGTATTAACTGGTCAAGCGGACCACGAAATTAGTGAATTTAATAAAAAATAGTTTGTTTCAACATATACCCTCCCAATATAAAAGTAAAAATGAAACAAAATAGATGACATCAAGATGAACCCTCTGGTCGATGGTTGTTCTGTCAATTCTTCATCGTAGTTGCCACATTTCTTATGTAAAAAAAATCACATTAAAAGGTGTATAAACTGTAGCAAAAGACACATTACACCCAAAGAAGTGAGTAACTGCTCATACAGATGGTTAATTGACCATGCAGTGGACTATAATCCCATGAAAATAATTGATTGAAAATATAAAATAAATGTAACTTTAACTTTTTTTAAAATATTATTAGGGACTGCAGTAGCAGAATGGCTAGGGCATCACAGACCACATGATCACATAGTCCTGGGTTCGAATCCAAACGTTGCCCCCTTTTGTGGTTCTTGCTCATCTCCCCAAAAACCATTATTATTTAAATTACCTGGATCAACCTTTTACGAGATGATCTCTACATAATCATTTATTTTATATAAATAATGACGGTTAATTACAAATTAAAAGTTTATTATAATAGGAGAGAAATAATATGAAATTAACTAAACATTAAAAGTTATATTTAACTATTACACACCATCTACAATACGTTTCCTTAAAAAAGTGCAAAATCCAGTTTATTCTATTACAACTTCAGCACCGACTTTACTCAATGCTTCTTTTAATTTTTCTGCCTCATCTTTACCAACATCAGCTTTGACCACAGTTGGACAGCTCTCGACAAATTTTTTTGCCTGCAAATTTTTAAAAAAATTGTTACTTGGTTGAATGGTATTTTCTAATTTTGAGAAGTTCACCTGTACAAGGTTCATGCCTTCGAGAAGATTTTTGCATTCTTTGATTAGAGCAACCTTCTGCTTCTCGTCGAATGCCATCAACTTGACAGTAAAACTTGTCTGAACGGCTTTTGGAGCCACGTCTTCATCTTCCTGAAACAATTAGAAAACAAACTCCTTAATAATGTAAGCTGCCCCCCTGTCTTAACATAAGTCAGAATAAACGAGTTAAAAAATAGGCAATAGTGTAAAGAATTTGGAATGTATTTTTTATGCAGGCTGTGCTAGCTTGTCAACCAAGTAGGGAACAAAGGAACTTTTCCCAAAAACCTTCCCTGAAGACATACAACAAGCAAATTGCCACTGTAAAATAACAAAAATGCCGAAGATTTATTAATTGAGGGAAAGTTGCCTTATATCATGGACAGGGCTCATTAAATCGAAGGTCACCATAAAATTGGGATCGTGTTGGCCAGATGGACTTTGTACACCCTTCACCTAAGGGCCAAGGGGCTGCATGCAGGGAAGCTCCATAGAATTACAAGATGTTGCATGGTTGGCCAGGTCATGACCGACCCTTGTAAGGGCATAGACCGTCAGGCACATTTGATTTTGCTTCACCCCCCCAGGAAACCAATTGAACAAGGGAAGACTGGAAAAGCCAAAACTCAGACAGAATAGAGTCAATTGTTGAGAGTCCCAGAAAGCAACAGAAAGGAGAAACTAGAAGATACTGAAAGGAGTGGAAATTGGTGTTAGCGAGTGTCATTTTGGGTAAGTTCTTTTTATAAATAAGCTCATCCCCAGAGTTAAAGTTGTGGCTGACTTGTATTTATTTGTATGTTTTTTCAATAATAAGACAGTCCAGGAAAGTGTAAAGATAAATATTTAAGAATATTATCTCTCTGTTTGTTGCAATTTTGAACCTTACCTTCCCTCCACCACAGTTCGGAACCAATATAAAGCAAGAATAATGGAAGACGATGTCAAGTCAGAGGCACGATAAGATCAGTTGAGTCAGCTAGGTGGAGAGTGAGAGAAGACACTCAATCCAGGACTCAGTCAGAACCAGAAAATACACTGCCAGTAAGATGAGTTAAATAGTCAACTGTGAACAGTAGTGTTACAGCTTCTTTACCGTGGCTGTACAGTTGGCGGTAGCTTAGTGGAGAAGGGGAGGACGTGTTGAAGAGAGAGACAAGTAATGGTCGGTGAGGGGGATGCAAAATTTATTTACCGTTATGTTGAGCGCCACGGTTTTTTTGTAGAAGGATAAATACCGAAATCAGGAAAAAAGGAACATAGAGAAAAGGAAGGAGAGAGGTAAGAAACTAAAAGACAGATCGGTTCCCTTGAACTTCAGCTGACCGACGTAGCGCTTCTTGCTTACTCTTTTTTTTTTTTTTTGGCAAACTTCTTGCTTCTCCGGCAGTTAATTCATTAACACAAGTTTATACTTATAATTTTTTTTTATCGTTAGTTTAAACCCAAGTATAAACTTGTGTTAATAAATTAACTGCCGGAGAAGCAAGAAGCTTGCCAAAAAAAAAAAAAATAATAATAATAAAAATAAAAACAAATAAATAAAAACAAATAACAACTATTCTATTTATAGCTAAATTTACATGTTCTTTTTGAATTAAACTAATAACAGATGGAAACTTACATCTAATGTTGGAAATCCCGAATTATCAGGCCTCATGAAGAAATAGAAAAGGACCAAACTCACAGGATTACTCTTACACTTCTTTACCACGTTCGTCGTGCTCTGCAGCGTTCTCTTCGGAAAAACCCTCCACACCTCCACACTATCGACGAACATAGGCCACACACTGGTTTTTTTTTTACAGTTTTTTTTCTTGTCCTCGTTGAGACCACCTCTTACTGTCTCTCATCTTCTTTTTTTTGTCAATCTCGAACTCGGAGCCCTCTAGCCTCAAACCCAGTGCTCACCGGGTCAGGATCTTCCAGGCCGCAAAATGCTTCCTGCTTCTCACCTCGGTTCGACCCACCACATTGTTTTATTATTATTATTATCCCCCCCCCCCCGAGAAGAACATAGAAACTGGTATTGGTGCATTTATTTGCATGTCTTTCCAATATTAAGACAGTCCAGAAAAGTGTAAAAATAAATGTTTAAGAATATTACCATCTCTTTGGTTTGTTGTATTTTTGAACCTTCCATCCATCCTACTTGGGAATCCAATATAAAACGAGAATATAGAAAAAGCCGACATCGAATCAGCTAGTTAGAGAGTGAATGAAAAAATTTGACCCAGGACTCAGTCATGCTGGACCAGAAAGTAGACTGCCAATGAGACGAGTGGAATACTTGACTGTAAAAGGTCCAGAAAGCAGAAGAAATGAGAAACGAACAAAAAGGAAAAAGCGCTGAAGAATGTGGAAATTGGTGTTGTTGAGTGCAGTTTGGAGCAAGTTCTTTTTATAAATAAATTACAATTAATTAAGGTTTTTAGTTGAGATGAAAAAAAGTTAATGGCACGAGCGGGATTCGAACCCACGATCTTCGGCTAGATACGCTGCTGCTCTACCACTTGAGCTATCGTGACCTCGATCCACTCGGACATCAACTTCCTATCTCAACCCCACCTTATGAGTTTTCCCTCCTTTTTGCCATTTTTCAAATTTTTTTCATCTCAACTAAAAACCTTAATTAATTGTAATGTATTAACTGGTCAAGCGGACCACAAAATTAGTGAATTTAATGAATTAAAATGAAGTACACTTCACTAAAGCTCTCCGTGATCATTTCATTTGTCGTCGAGAATCCAATCCGATTACACGACATTTGAAAAATGGCAAAAAGGAGGGAAAACTCTTAAGGTGGGGTTGAGATAGGAAGTTGATGTCCGAGTGGATCGAGGTCACGACAGCTCAGGTGGTAGAGCAGCGGCGTATCTAGCCGAAGATCGTGGGTTCGAATCCCGCTCGTGCCATTAACTTTTTTTCATCTCAACTAAAAACCTTAATTGTAATGTATTAATTGGTCAAGCGGACCACAAAATTAGTGAATTTATAAACTCATTCCCAGAGTGTGGCTCACTTGCATTTGTTTATTCCATTATTAAGACAGTCCGGAAAAGTGTAAAAATAAATATTTATGAATATTATCTCTGCGGTTTGTTGCAATTTGAACCTTACCTTTCTTCCAGACAAAAAGTAATTATGCGTATATGCTAAATGTCCACGCATTGCGGATTATGACACAGAGCGTCAGCGCCGCTTACAGCAATGTTAAAAAAATTGATCTTACCTCAACCTTTGCTGCGACAAATCCTCCAACCGGCATGACCGGAGCATCAGGCAGGTTCAGTCTCTGTTTCAAAGCTGTGCTTAATTCGGTCACTTCCAGAAGCGTAAGATGGGATATGTCGGTGACCAATTTTTCAATTTTGGCTGAAAAAACTGCAGCGCTTCCATCTGGTGCAGGTACAGTGAGTGGTTCAGCAGCAACCATCTTTTTAGAACTAGAAATTATTGTTTTATTTTTTATAATTCAATGTGGTAACTAATAATTTATAAGAAATATTTCACTTGCCTTTTTGTTATGTTCCTTGTATGTCTTAAGCCTAAAGCCAACCTTCTGAACATCTTCGTTCTCTTTAATAAAATATTTTCAAGATAAAAATATGAAATTAATGGACAATTCACTGTTCTACAGTGTCCAAAACAAATTCTAATGGAATTGGAATTGGTTAGGGCCGGCCTAGTGAGAACAGCGAGGGTTTTCTTGGTGACTGCTATCAGCAATCAGCAACTCTCTCTACAGAGTACTTTTAGAGAGAACCTAAGCGGAAATTTCAAATTCTGTAACCACAAATGCCAAATTTTATGACAAAAAAAATAAATGGTCATAATTACTGTTGTATTTACTAAATTTTCAAAGAAAATCTCCACTGTAAATTTCAAACATTGCTAGTTCAACAAAATCTGAATAATTAAATTCATATATGTTTAGTGGTCATAATTGCCCACATTAATTATTTCAATTAATTATTCTTTTTGTATATGTTCTTGGTTGAGATGAAAAAGTTAGTGACACAAGCAGGATTCGAACCCACGACCTTCGGCACAATACAACGCTGCTCTACCACTTGAGCTATCATCGGTTCGAATCCCACTTGTGACATCCAAGTCCTTATGTAAAAAGAATAATTAATTGAATTAAAAAATATTGACGTTTACACTTTTAGGATTGAAAATATTAACATTGTTAAGATTTTATTGCCTGCAACAGAAATCAGCATGGAATGATTTATAACTTTCAGAGAACATACCCCATAGAATGTTCCAACAAATTCTTATTGCAGTTTGAAATAATAATTAACAACTTAAACAGTAACTAATTAATCTTGAATCAGTCATAATGTGTATGTTTGACCCTTTATAATCTGTATTAAAATTATACATGAAAAATTGAACATAACATTTAACATTATTTTTCAATAAAAGCACACAGATGTTTTAATGGTAATTGTATTTATAGTTCTTTGATTTTAGACTTTTGTTATGTATAAAATATTGTTATACATATTGACATTTATTACTCTTTATTCAAACGCATATTTAGAAAAAGAATTGATTGAGGAGTATAACAATAATGGCAAGTCTGATTGATTTATTTAATAATTTAATATTGTTTAAACAAAACAAGATGTAGGTGTTGAAGGTGGTGATCAACTTCAAGTTGAATATTTTGAGCAACAAACAAAAGTATAATACACCGATATAGAAGAAATTTCAGCAGATTTATAATTAATATAATTTTTCAGGAGGAGTTGATCGCTCAGGAAAAAGCGCAGAAGAAGTACGCTGATGTTTTCGGCGGGCTTGAAGATTTTGAAAACGGTGGGAGCAGGAGAAGCAGAAGAGTAAAAAGGAGAAAATAATGGTAGAAATAAATAATAAAATGACTAAACTAGCTATTTTTTACCAGATAAAGTATGAAAAGTTATGATGTTTGGTCAATTTGTTGCTTGATTAACCAGGTTGTTATTGCTGGTATGGTATGTCGTATAAAACTTCACTGTGGCTTTGCATTTTATTTTGTCAATAGTAATAACAGGTCAATTTTGTCCTTTTATATACTTATAAAATGTGAAATAGGTGAAGAAGTAATTTATTCTTAATAAAAAAAGTTAAGTTAAAATAAAAGGAGAAAAAATGTGTTAAGCTACAATGTTGAGATTGGATCAATCTGCACATTAATCAACTAGGTCACGTTGTCCCTTGGTGGTTTGGTATACATGACTTCACTGGTTGGTTTATCTATTATTTTGTCAATAATAATAACAACAGGTCATTTGTGTTCATTGGTATCCTAATAAAATGTGAAATAGGAGGAGAAACAGTTTATTCTTAATAAAAGAGGTTAGTAAAAATAAATGAAGAAAAAAATGTAAAGCTACAATGTTGAGATTATCATAAATGATTTCACTGGTGGTTTTGCATATTATTTTGTCAGCAATAATAACTACAGTTCAATTGTGTCCTAATAAAATCTGAAATAGGTGGAGAAACAGTTTACTCTTAATGAAAGAGGTTAGTAAAATAAATGAAAAAAATCTAAAGCTACATGTTGAGATTATCATACATAATTTCACTGGTTGGTTTGCATATTAATTTGTCAATAATAATAACAACAGCTCAATTGTGTCCTAATAAAATATGAAATAGGTGGAGAAACAGTTTATTCTTAATAAAAGAGGTTAGTAAAATAAATGAAGAAAAAAATGTAAACCTACAATGTTGAGATTATCATAAATGATTTCACTCGTGGTTTTGCATATTATTTTGTCAGCAATAATAACAACAGTTCAATTGTGTCCTAATAAAATCTGAAATAGGTGGAGAAACAGTTTATTCTTAATAAAAGAGGTTAGTAAAACAAATGAAGAAAAAAATGTAAAGCTGCAATGTTGAGATTATCATACATGATTTCACTGGTTGGTTTGCATATTAATTTGTCAATAATAATAATAACAACAGGTCAATTGTGTCCTTTTGTATCCTAATAAAATCTGAAATAGGTGGAGAAACAGTTTTTTCTTAATAAAAGAGGTTAGTCAACATGAAGAAAAATACAAAATTTAAAAAAATGTGTATTATAAAAATATAATATTTACTCTTCAATCAACGATAACACACATTAACAATATTATTACTTAATTTAGCGTAACAGCCTTAGTACAGATTAAAAAAAGATGAATATAAATAATAATACAAATGCCTTGTTAATTTATTTCTCAAGCTACCCAAATAAGATGTAATCATCAGTAACTCGGAAAAATAAAAAAATAAAATTTTTCATCGGGTATTAAAAGGCCACATCTATATTTAAGAAAATTAAAATAACATTAAAGTAATAATTTAAAAAAATAGATTGACATGCATAAGCCAATTTGTGTGTTGTGTTTTATATCAGTATTTACTTAAACAATTAATCAATAAACAGTTAACATAAAGTACTTAGTTTGAACATTATGTACAATACTACACATTATGTATAAAAAAAGACATAATGTAAACTTAAAATGTACAGTTATTTTATATAACATAGTGCAGTATAAAAGTGTGAAAATTTGAAATAGAAAGTGTATAACTTGTACAAAATATTAATAAAATAAAATTGTAAGTTCTTTTTTATAATTTAGGCTGAAAAGTCCTCCTTAGCCATATGTAAATTTTTTATATGTGTTTTTAATTGATCACTTTGTCTGCACCGATAACCGCAGGTCGCACACATATGCGGTTTTTCATCGGTATGCACTAGCAGATGCCGTCTTAATTTATACGGTTCTATACACTTGTATTTGCACAGTGAACACGAATATCTTTTAGTGTCGTAGTGTATCATTATGTGCCTTTTTAAATGGCTCGATGTCGTACAGGCGTATTCACATTCTATACATTCGAATGGCTTTTCCCCCGTGTGCAACATCATGTGAGTCTTCAAATGTACGGATTTCCTCGAGACGAATCCACAGTAGGTGCAAATGTACGGTTTTTCTCCGGTATGCGTCGACTGGTGGGCTTTCAGGTTTCCGGAGCTTGAGCACTTGTAATCGCATAGTGAACAACTGTACGGCTTTTCTCCTGTGTGTCTTCTCATGTGGATCTTGATAGAATTCGAATACCAGCAGATGTAATCACACTCAGGACATCTGTATTCTTTTTTAATTGTTTTTTGTCTTTTCCTGATACGCTTTTTTGGCTCCTTCGCCAACGGGTCTTCATCCAAAGCAGCTAACACAGGCAAACTTGGTTCATTTCTCAACTTTCTCACCATTTTAAAATTCTCCCTCTTTACTGGAACATTAAATAGAAAACAAATTCTATGCAAAAGACTAACTTTTTTAAAAATATATTTACCTGGAGAAAATAAATCACAAATGAGTTGTCATGAAAACAACCACGTGTAAAAGATGTTTGAACCTAACTAATTACATATTTGTTTCACAAAGCTCATATCATCACAACAAATTAGCTTGGGGAGGTTTCACAATTCCCGCCATCAAAACATCCTGTTTGTCCTTTATAAACGGCCAATATTGGACAAAAATGAATTTAAAAAACAGTTTCCTTCAACAATTTAAAATTTAGTCAATACTAAAACTGACAAATACAAAATAATGAATTCGTTTTGTATAAGAAAGAGTTAGAATTGACAAATAAAACCCAATTAATGTAAGAAAAGTATAGACAGTAGAAACTTAATTTGTGAAACGAAAACCAAAAACTTCAAATCATATAAAATAAAATTTCAAGATTAGAAACTTCTTCCCTTCCCTGTACAAAGATTGAAAATCTTCATTCAAAAACTAAGATGTCACAAATAAAAGAAGACTACTCTATACTACTATATTGACAATCCTTTTTTACTTAGTCAAATTAATTTATCTGTACTGAACTACTTGACCAGGCATAATAAACTTTTACATATTTCCTACCATTCTACTAACTTTAGTAAAAATACTCCTATAGAAAGAATGATGTGTTCAGCCAACAACTTTCCACATCTTACTATTTTTAATTCTTCTTATTCTTCATTGTACAGTCAAGTGTGCAGATATGTTAAATCTTGAATCATTATGTAAATTTAAATTATCTTTCATTATTTTTATAACAATAAAAAGTTTTTCATATAAATTATTTAACTTCCACTTCTGTATGTGATTGTATGTATATGTATATATTTCCAAATTTAACTTTATAATTTGTTGGATTCACGAGGAGTGATCAAGAAATGATAGTTTACAAAAACACCTTTTTCATTTTTTGACGACGTTTTGGCCTTTATTCGGGCCAACTTTAGGGCAAAGTGAATTACAAAACATACTTGATTGGGAAAAATATAATACAGATGTAAATATAAATTTTGAACCAAGTATTTCATGCTCACATAAAATGTGTCGCTATTTTTGTGGTTTCACAACAATTTCACACAAAACCAATTCGACACCACAAGAATAGCACCACACTTTATGTGAGTTTGAAATACTTGGTTCAAAATTATATTTTTTCCAATCAGCATATTTTGAAATTCTCCCAGGACCTGAAGATGACTGAATAAAGATTGCAATGGCAAAAAAATGAAAAAGATGTTTTTCTACACTATCTCATTCTTTACTGCTTTTCACAAATCCAACAAATTATTAAACAACTGGTAACTAAAAAAATACATATTTATCTTTATATTAAATGTTATCTTTATAGGTATATTTATATGAAACATTCTTTCAAGCAATTTTCTTACTTTACATCTTGTTTAATGCTTAAATAATTTTTTTTTGTTTTATTAGTTTTGCTTGTGTATTGTTATATTTTATATAATGTTGTTATAAAACATATCAACCGTCAAAAATAGCTACACTTCAATGATCCACAAGAATGATCATCAAAAAGTTATTGCGGTAAAGAGATCTGTCATTGTCCTTAGAGCTTGTATTTGGCTAGACCTTTGGATTAGAGCTATTTTAGGTGGCATGGTAATTGACTCAAAGCTTGATATATATATTAAGTTTTAAAAACGAAATAGACCAAATGGAATGAACTAATGCATCAAGACACACAGTTCATTACTTAAACGGAGAAAATCATACACATGAAAAAAGCCTCTTCCAGCTTATAGGCCAAATGTTGTACCTACTGCCAGCTGCAAGTCAAAACACCCCCACATCAGTAGTATTTGAGGAAGGAAAATTCTCAGAAATAAAATGAATGAGCTTCCTGCCTGATTTATAAACTTGGTTTAATTTTTGATTTTTATAAAGAATCATAATAATATTTTAAAAAAATCATTAATATTTTTTGTATTTCATATTACTTGAATTGTGAAATGAAATCTCTAGATTAATTTTTTAAGAAGTCCTTTTTCAAAAATGTCTCTTTGCTTAGGTAGTGATCTAGTTATTGCTTTCAGTCTTCTTTTGAGCTTTGAGAAACTTTTTTTAAAATTGGTCCTTAATAAATATTGAAAACCTAGAAAGCTTGAGTATGGTTTTACCTCAGTCGTATTCCATTTATGCTGAAGTACTTCGATCTGCTAGAGTTTATGATGGAGGTAAAAAATGTGTGGTAGTCATTGTGCTGAAACTGTGTTAAAACTTACTAGAAAGCTCCTCATATAAGCTTCACTAAAAACCACTGTTAATTAGCTTGCCACATTCAATGATGAAAAATGGGTTGACGGTTAGGAAATAAATAAATAAACATTGTGGAAAATACAATTTATATACTATAAAAACTCAAGGCATTAATGGTTGACAGGATTTTTCTAAAATGTCCAGATCCTTTTTCAGACTTTTCTTATAGATTTGGGAACAAAACATCGACAAATTATCTAAAGTGGAATAATTTACCGTTCATCAATTGATGATAATAAATTAAAGTTTTCTACAAATTTGAACTCAACTGAACATTCGGTCTATAAGCAGGGCACAAGACAGCTGAATAGTCAATTAGCTGAATAGTCAATTATAGCGAGTTAAAAAAAACAAACAATGATTAATAGGATTTTTCAAAAATGTCCCGAATTTTCTATGGATTTTGGAACAAAACATCTTCGACAAATTATTTCAGACACCAAATTGTCTAGGTGGTTTAAATTGCCATTCATCAATTGATGATAATAAATCAATGTTTTCTACAATTTCAAATTATTCGATATCCAACATACTGCCTCTACCTGAACGTTGGGTCTATAAGCGACACAAGGCAAGCTGAAGAACCAATAACAAAGATTTCAAGAAAAAATCATGAAGAATTAACAATTGACAGGATTTTTTGAAAATGTCCAGATCCTTCTTCAGAATTTTCTATGAATTTTGGAACAAAACATCCTCGACAAATTATTTCAGACACCAAATTTTCTAAGGTGGCTTAAATTGCCATTCATCAATTGATGATAATAAATCAGTGTTTTCTACAATTTTGGATTATTTGATGTCCAACATACTGCCTCTACCTGAACGTTGGGTCTATAAGCAGGCACAAGACAAGCTGAAGAGTCAATAACAGAGATTTCAAGAAAAAATGACAAAGCATTAACGACTGACAGGATTTTTTGAAAATGTCCAGATCCTTCTTCAGAATTTTCTGTGGATTTGGAGACAAAACATCCTCAACAAATTATTTCAGACACCAAATTTTCTAAGGTGGCTTAAATAGGCATTTATTCGACACCTCATATGCACTGTCTCAACCTAAACATTACATTATGCGGGACTTTAGGCCTATAAGCGGGGTGAGTAAACAATTCCAAAGTGCCAAAACATTTGGGTTTGGCAAATGATGTTTATGCTACTTCAAAATTCATTTAAGTTTTACTTTATAATTTTCTAATCAGGACAGTTCCACTTTAAAAAAAAAAATAAACTCATCAATCAAAATTTAGTCTTATGAAGTATGTAGAAGAAAGCAGTAAATAAAACAAATTTTCTGTAAAATTATTCTTTAATTTTGTACATTTTTGTCATTATATACAATAAATAAATAAATATTTTTTCATTCCTTATGAATAAAATATTATAATTTAAAAAAAATTACATTCCTGGTAAAATAATATGTACACTTGAGTTTTTATTACATTTATTGATAAGCCGGTGTTAAAATAAATACAAAATTTACAAATTATAAACAACTAAAAATATAATCAGTCTGGTAGTGTTATGTACATTAATACAAAACTAGATGGTAAATAAAAATCTTCCTTTGATACATGTTTTATAATTGTTTTGATATATAAAACTGACTTATTTTACAATCTATCGGACATTACTGTGATGCCTTATTTTGACATCGGCAATCCTAAATTGCTTCCTGGCTCTTTCTTCGTCAGCATTTGTGCTTTTTATTAAATCGTCCACAGTTTCGGTCCTACAAGAGAAGATTATTAAAAAAAATCAAATGGTTGAATTTTTTTTTACTTACTGTGGAGTGTAGGAATGATATTCCCTTTCACTCGTCCTCGATGGATGGGACTTCTGTTCGAAAAGTCGACATATCTCTTTGACAGGGACGCAATTTTCTCTGCTCCTTATGGGAGTACTCAGGTCGTGGAGAGAATGGGCCCTTCCCATCTCCAGAGGCCGGTACGGTGATTCGCACCTTCCTTTGCACAAGGTTTCGAAAAGTATCCTCTTTTCTTTGACCGGGACGTATTCGTCTGTCCGTTGGCATCGGTCGAGAAGTTCGTTCATTTCGTTCTCAGAGCTGGAAAGGGCATCGAGGGTCTCCATACTTTGAACCCGGCTCAATATTATTTTGCTGTTTCTCAATTCTCGCCTCCTCGATCTGAAAATATTGCAATTATAAAATATAAATTATTAAAGAAAGACAATAATATTATGATTGTCTTAATATTCTAGGATCTTACATGAAAGTCTTTGGACAAAGAATAGCATAAAGCAGATTAACAAATTGATTCAACAAATAAACATATTTTCCCATTCTTGATCCAAATTGAACATGCTTATTAACACACAAGAAAAAACTATAAGATTCCTCAAGGGGGCATTTTGTAAACCTAGTCCAGCTATATTTAGTACAGGCAATATTCAATCTAATACAGTAATTCTATTTTTTTTTTGTAAACTTATATTTAAAAATTGAAGTTTCCCAGTCAAATGCATAAAAGTGATAGGTTTCTTGGTTAGAAAAAATATTTCTATAAGCAATAAGCAATTTTAAATTTACAAAAAATTCACTAATTTCATGGTCTGCTTGACCAATTAATATATTAATATTAATTCACTAATATAACCTTAATTAAGGTTTTTAGTTGAGATAAAAAAAGTCAATGGCACGAGTGGGATTGAAACCCACGATCTTTGGCTTCATACACCGCTGCTCTACCACTTGAGCTATCGTGACTTCGATCCACTCGGACACCAACTTCCTCATCACAAAGAAGGAAATTAAAAGGTGGGGTTGAAATGAGGAAGTTGGTGTTTGAGTGGATCGAGGTCACGATAGCTCAAGTGGTAGAGCAGCGGCATATCTAGCCGAAGATCGTGGGTTCGAATCCCGCTCGTGCCATTGACTTTTTTATCTCAACTAGAAACCTTAATTAAGTGTAAATTACAAAAAATACAAAATGTTATAAGTGCCATGAAAGTTGCACTTAAAAAAATTGAGGTTTCAAGTCAGGAATCTTGCAAATGAAAAAGCTAAGTTCATTCCACCACCAATGAAATAAGATAAAACTTTGTTTCAGCCTTTGGCAAATATGGCATCATGGATGTAATTTCCTTTTTCTTTTTCTTCAACAAGGGGATGACTTTTGCTTTTGTTTGTTTCCAAAATGGTTCAAAAATTTATGAAAAAAAAATACAGACTGCATCAGGCATGTTCTAATAATCAAGCCGAAATTTTGGCCATTCTGAAGAGCTTGCAATGGGCTATGAATAAAAAATCAGAAGGGAATATTGCCAAATTTATCAGTTTAAGTGACAGTCAAGTGTCCTTAGAATCAATTATTAATTATAATAATCATGGCTTTTTGCCTGAGCAAATAAGGAAAATTATTCAAACTCTAGTCAAACAGAATGTTAATGTACAACTAGGCTGGGTTAAGGCCCATTGCGGAATAGAGGGAAATGAAGAAGCTGACAGACTGGCCAAATTAGCATCTATTGACGAGAGTTTTTTTGGCATACACCAAACTTCCAAAGTCATCAATTATAAATAAACTTTTCGAAGAGAGACTGGAAAAATGGGAAAATGCTTGGTCAAGTACAAATAATGGAAGGCACATAAGAAAGTTTCCCAAAGTTGCCGATAGATTCCACACATCCAACAAACCACTAACCCACATCTTAACCGAACACGGCCCACACAACTATTTTTTCGCTTTCATCTAAGAGAATCTTCATCATGCTCATGCCTGCCTAATTTCCCAGTAGAACAAAGCATTAAGCACCTAATATATGAGTGCCCACTAATAGAACCACTGCGTATTGTTTGGATACGAAAGTGCCTACTGCAAGACAAGAAGTGGCCACCTGATGAGGAGCTCATGAAGAGAGAATATTATGACCATTTTGACACATTCATTATAGCAATAGTTTTTAATGTAATTTAGTTAAATGTTATGTTATTTGTTTATTTAGTTTTTAATTAGTTTCTACTTATTAACGTTATTTATTATTATTTAACAGTTTCAGTAATTGTCTTTTCGCCTTAATATGAATCGATATCCCAATATATACATTTTATATATTTTATATTTATGGTTATTGTATTACATGTATGTATGAAGCATGTAGAATAAATATAATAATAATTAAAAAAAAAGGATGACTTTTTTTGCATTTCTTTGCTCAAGAATTTTCCTCTTGACACTCTACACATAGTTTTCTTGTGTACAGGACATTACAGACCATTGACTCAACGAGGAATAGAATTTTTTTACACCAATGACACCAAAGTTTTCTTTGGTACTTTTGTCATGGTTTCCTTGGAAATACTCATTTTTTTGTAACCAAAAGTTGGTCTGCTACTTCCATTCATCCAAAGAAATTGGTGTTGTTGACCACTAAGAAAAGATGTTTCTGGTAGCATGAGCAATTATTTTTAACCAGGATTCTAGGTACCACTGGTTTTTTGCCTCATTTAGTTTTTTCAATGATTGTGAAGTCCTGATCACAGGATAGAAAAGTGTGTCCATGCATTAGAACTTGCAGGTGGTTTCTGTGAAGTACTTGTTAAACGTTTATGATGTGGGGCTTGACCATGAAAGTCAGCATATCTGAGCAATCTCCGCTTGGCGGTGGGAAAATTACAATTTTTTCTCAGCAGCTTTTAATTGCTCAATTGGACTAGAGTCTATGGCTATTTTCCATTTATCACAAGTTGCAGGTTGCACAAGGCACTTACAATGTTTTGGTTTTGGTTTAGCAGCCTTCATTTATGGCAAAACAGAAGCACAAGACAGCAAGAATATTCGGCAACCTTTTGCATTGAATAAGAAACAGAATCAAAATACCAAGCATTTAAGCATCACTACCGACAGATCTCTAGTAAGATAAAATAAGTAAGCAACTGCATTAAAAAACCTTATCTTGTGTAACAATCAAATATAAGTAAAACTACATAGTCTCAATAAAAATATTGCAAGAGTTGAAAATCTTAACTTGGGACCATGAGAGTCAAATGGTCAGCATGATAGACACTTGGCTCATAAACCCTGAGGTTGTCGGTTCGATTATCACCATCGCCTCTGGCCATTTTTTTCACACAACCCTTCCCCCAACAATGAAATAATCAACGGAATTGTACTCTGGCTAAAATGCAAGCTCATAAGGCCATTAAAAAAAGTATAAATTATTTTTTATCAAACCGTCACAGGCTGCTAAAATCTGGAAGGGGGGCTTCTGGAGGGCTTGATTGATGATAAGATTGATATAGATTGTCTGAAATGTACCTAGATTTTCTGTAGCAAGGAGGTAAATCCCTGACAACATCTGGGAGGTCCGTGGACCGTTTTGTAAACCTGTGCCTCTGGATGTCTGGCTTGACGGCACGGGCCAAGTTGTCAGCACTCTGGGCTCTTCTCAGCGACCCTGTTATTCCAAGTATATCGAGAAACCTCACCCTTTCCAGGGGTGTCTGTCGCATAAGTTCAGCGGCAATCGCCTTCACCCATCTTTCATATTCGTTGCTGTTATCGACCTGAAACAAGGGCGATTTCAGTACGAGACTTCAAACTAGGATAAAAGCTGAATCTAGAAAGAAAGGGCTTTACGCTGAATGTCACAGTAGGAAGATTGTCGTTATGCCTCGTGAGTGTGAAAGCAAGATGGGGTCCAGGAGCTGGCAGAAGATTCATAGTGGTGAGTGGGATTCTCCAAGTTGGATGACCACCAGGCACGACCCCTGGGTATATCTCCAACTGTCCACCTCTCACGACGCAATATCTTCGTCCACAGCCAAGTAGTTCCAATACGCCTGGAAAAAATAAAAAACAAATTGGTTATTGTTAAATTAAAATATTTCAAATTAGTAAAAGGGGCAGAAGATCTAGGGTCCTTAAGCTGATCATGTTAAAATTGTAAAAGTGTAATTATATCAAGAAGAATGTTTTATTGTATGGTTGACAGTAAATAATTTGACAAAATATGGGTTTATTGGTTACAATTTTATTACTATTTTACTTGTATCTTTGTCTTTTTCCTTTTACAACAGTATTTATTTGAATATATAGTACAAGTAAAATTGTTCATTTGTTCAAATGTAAAAATATTTTAAAACAAAATTTAGTAATTAAAAAAAAGAAGCAAAGAATCATCAGTGATGACCCTTCTAGACTGGGGTGGGTCTCAGTGATGAACAGGTCACGATGCCACTTATGGAATGTTAAGGGATTGGGGTGTAAAGAAAGGGATTTGTGCAATCTTCTGCACTGGGATTTTATGACATCTTTCACAAAAGGTGTGTTAAGGTCATTATGGATTGTATAATTGGAAACACATGTTTATTATTTTTGATTTTGTAGCAGTGTCATCTATGAAAGTGACCCTAGCAAAGGCTTAAGCCACATCAAGTAAAGCACCAAAGCAGTACTACTTCAGCTCAAGAGAGGAAGAGATTGCACATTACAATGGCATTACTTGATTGGGGGGGGGGTGTTTTGGGAAGCAAAACTGGGGAAATGGGATAATATTTTATTCTTCTAGGATGGGAAGGATGGCTTTGAGAAAGAGCTCCTCAAATCTTTCCTAGGTTAATAGGTAAGAGGTTTTGTTGGTTAGGCTGATGTGGCTTTTGTGTCATCTTTATAATGGAAAACTTCCATACTAAGGAAAAATGAATAGTTCATAGGACAGTATTATTCCATCCGAGGAAGATGAATACATTTTTTTTGAGGAATCTAAGTATTTGAGCTGTTGTAAGGTCATATCCAAGAGCTTTCTTTTTGGGAAGGTATTTAATAATATGCTGGACCTCAGAAGGATGAAAAGCTTTTGGTGGAAGGGAAAGAGGTAATGGTTGGAGTTCTTTTTCTATGGTTTCTCTGTGTTCACTATGTCAGGATGAGGGCGGAATATTTTGGAAAAGTGATCGTTTTGGCATTTTGTCTCGACCTTTAGAACTGCTCCTTATATATATCAGGATATGTGACATATATGTACCATCTACCTATGGTATAATCTGGGTCAAATTGATATTCTGAGTGATCTCTTACATTGAGTTTGATGATACTTTGAAAAGAAGTTGGAAAATCTTAAGAATGAATCAAAACAGTAATTGCCTCTCCCTGCTTATAGGCTTAGTTGTTTTCATGGTCACATCAATAATAAATAAGTAGGCCAAACAGATGTTTACAAAAATTGATTTGGATAAACGCTTACACATTGAGTTTGGTAACACTGAAAAAATTTCCAAAATCTTAAAAAATGAAAGGAGAAAGCAACTTGCCTCTCCCTGCTTATAGACCCATTGCTGTTTTCTTGGTCCCATCAAGGCTAATTAGCTTAGAAAAAGTTTACAGAGATCGATTCTGATAAAAGCTCATGCATTGCGCTTGGTGGTACTTGGAAAGAATTTGGAATAATATTAAAAATGAAAGGAGAAAGTAACTTGCCTCTCCCTGCTTATAGGCCCAATGCTGTTTTCTTGGACCCATCAAGGCTAAATAGCTTAGAAAGAGTTTACAGAGATCGATTCTGATAAAAGCTCACGCATTGCGCTTGTGGTACTTAGAAAGAATTTGGAATAATATTAAAAAGGAGAAACTAACTTGCCTCTCCATGCTTAAAGGCCTGTTGTTTTCTTTGTCACTTCAAATGCCAAACACAGGTTTATAAAAATTGATTAGAATAAATGCTCACACATCCCATTTGATCATACTTTGAAAGAATTTGGAACAATCTTAAAAATGGGAGAAAGTAACTTGCTCTCCCTGCTTATAGGCCTGATGTTGTTTTCTTGGTTACATCAAGAATAAATGGGCTGAACAGAGGTTTACAAAAATATTATAGGATTGGAATATTAAATACCATGATACAAGTCAGAAATGTACAAAATTTTATATGTCACTTGAAGATTTTTACTTTTATTGGCATGGCAGAATTCAAAACCTTTAAAGTTCCTCATTTAACCTTTCGACTTAAGACTTCCAAGTGCAATATTAAGTTGTAAAAAATTGTATATCATTCTCGTTTTTATTACCTAGTCTGTTTTTGTAAGCAATCGAAAGTTCTTTGTATTAGTCATAAAAGAAAGGAAATGGCCCCAAGAAACAAAATAATTTTATTTATGACCATTGAGTCAATTGGTCCTTTGTCTCAGCCTTTACATCTGCTCCTTGCCTCTCCCTGCTTATATACCAGACATTGCGCCATCTACAAATGGTATAATCCGATGGATCAACAAAGATCACTTACATATTAGTAATCAATCTTTATAAAACGATAGTTCCTACTCACATTAAGTCACTCCTGTGAGTAGGAACTATTTAAAAAAAATTGAGCAACACACTCACTACACCATTTGTTTTTTCTATTAGTGATCATTGCAAAAAATTCGGTAAATCTTAAAAATGAAAGGAGAAAGTAACTTGCCTCTCCCTGCTTATAGGCCTGATGTTTTGTTGGTCACATCAAGAATACGTAAGCCAAACACAGGTTTTTAAAAATAGATAAGGAAGCTCACACATCGTATTTGATCGTACTTTGAAAGAATTTGGGAAAATTTTGAAAATGAAAGAAGAAAGTAACTTGCCTCTCCCTGCTTATAGGCCGGACGTGGTTTTCTTGGTTTCGTCAAGAATACGTGGGGCAAACAAAGTTTTACCAAAGTAGTATTGGAAAATTAAATGCTATGAGTAGAAATGTACAAAATCTTATATGTCACTTGAGTATTTTTACTTTTATTGGCATGGCGGAATTAAAAAGTTCTTCGATAAAAAACCTTTAAAGTTCTTCACTTAACCTTTCCAGTTCAAGACTTTTAAGTGCGATATTAAGTTGTAAAATTATCTTTTTTCTTTATTATTTAGTCTTTTTTTGTAAGAAATCTAAAGCTCCTTTATTAGTCATAAAAGAAAGGAAATGGCACCACAGGAACAAAATAATTTTATTTACGACCATTGTATCAATTGGCGGTTTGTCTCGACCTTTACAACTTTCACTCCGATTAAAAACTCACGTAATACCCGTCCTGATGAGCTTACTATGTAAAAAAAAAAAAATATTTTGAAAATATGATAAAAAAATCGAACTTGGAGATTCTTCTCGGTTCAATGCAAATCAAAAAGGTAGAACTTTGTATTACGAAGTAATTATTTTAATCCCGCGAGTACTTGAAAGGGAGAACGTCTTCCAACCAGGAAATAGACAAAAACTCCACAATTCATATAATTCGCTGAAATAATTCAAGGGACAGGGCCATTTCAGAATGAGGAATTTTCTTTCGAATTATTTCCACCGGCTGAAGGAGAGAAATAATTTCTCGAGGCGGCTGAAGATCCAATTGAAAAGGAGGAAGCAATTTCAATACAACGTGGACTGCTATTAAACTGAAATTAACACAGCCTCACGTTTTTTTTGAAGACTAATGCCCAACTTACATCGAGAAAACAAGAATAAATAACTCAACTCGTTAAATGTGTTTAGCTTTTTATTAAAAAATAAAGTGTTTTAAATTGGGTCCTAAAATTTTATGTGACTCAAATTGCCCCTTGAAACGAAACAGTTGACACGTGCATTCACTTAAATGTTTTACTCTTTTCCTTTCATTCCTCTGTCATAAATTAAATAATGGACAAAAGTCCTTAACTTACAATTTAAACAGTCTGATTTGTATTTTTTCGCATAAAAAAAACTATGATTTGTGAAAGTAAAATGCCTCGTTTTTTCCAAATTTCCAAATTTGAACAAAAATCGCGAATAAAAATATTTGACAAGTGACTGTTGCGACTAGATCTCCAGTTTCATGTGACACCAGACTTCCGTTGAATCCGTTCCTGAAATTTAAGAAAGTAAAATACCGCCACTTTCTCGATAGAGCAAGAAATCTTTTCAGCCCTGGTAGAATTTGATGGGAGATAGCCGTAATCAAAATACCAACGGTCTTTTGAAGAAATCTCATAAATCAGTCGACTCGTTTGCTAGATCGACCCAAAACATTCATTATTGCAGCCTTTATATCTTTGTATGAATTGTCGGAGATCAAAGAAAGACTTGATTATCATGGCTCTACAGACTAGATTATTGTAACAAGCTGAATGGGATTAAAAAATAAAAAGAGCCAGTTCTTTGCCTCTCCCTGCTTACAACCAAACATCCATCTCTGGCATAATTCGATGGATCAAAGATTCCGTTTGGTGATAATTTGAAAGAATTCGGAAAAATCTTGAAATGAAAGGAGACAGTAACTTGCCTCTCCCTACTTATAGGCTTGATGTTTTATTGGCCGCATCAAAGGAGGGCCAAATGGAGGTTTACAAAATCGATTCGGATAAAAGCTAACGCATTGAGTTTGGCGTTCTTTGAAGAAATCAGGAAAAATTATAAAATGGAAGGAGATAGTACTTGCCTCTCCCTGCCCTAGATGTATTTTCTTTCGTCATGTAGTGGGAACCTGCGGTTACCTCGGTACCCGTCAGGTGTCACTACTGGTTCTGGAATGGTCTCGCCCTCCACTCTGCAGCGAATCAAAGCAGAGCGTATACAAGCAGGGGCACTGCCCCACTGGCTTCAGACTCGTCAACATGACGAGGTCTCACCATTCCTCCAGACTCGTCAACCCGACGAGGTCCCACCATACTTCCAGATTCTTCAACCCGACGAGGTCTCACCATAACTCCAGACTCGTCAACCCGATGAGGTCTCACCATACCTCCAAACTCGTCAACCCGACGAGGTCCCACCATACTTCCAGATTCTTCAACCCGAAGAGGTCTCACCATACCTCCAGACTCGTCAACCCGACGAGGTCTCACCATA